TTTTGTAATTAAGATTTATTTTTATTGGAAGGGCAGATTTACAGAAAGACCTTTCACCTGCTGGTTCACTCTCCAAGCAACCACAATGGCCAGAACTGAGCTGATCTGAAGCCAGGAGCCAGGGGCTTCTTCCAGGTCTCCCACACGGGCACAGGGTCCCAAGGTTTTGGGCCGTCCTCCACTGCTTTCCCAGGCCACAGGCAGGGAGCTGGATGGGAAGCGAGGCCTCTGGGACATGGACCGGCCACCATGGGATCCCGGTGCTTGCAAGGTGAGAATTTACCCGCTGAGCCTTGGTTCTTTTTTGTAATCTTTTTTTACTTCCCCCAGAACAGCAGCAAAGCTGGGGTTGGGCCAGCAGAAAGCCAGGGGCTGCGTCCGCATCTCCCACGGGCTGCAGGGCCGAGCACCTGGACACGCTCCTGCGGTATCCAGGCCTTTGGTGGGAAGCTGGATTGAAAGTGGAGCAGCTGGGATTTAATCCAGCACTCACACAGGATGCCGGTGCCTCAGGCGATGGCTTAGAACGCTGCACACCGTGCCGGGCCCTGCTGGGGTCGACTCCTGAGGATGCCGCCCTGCTAGCTCTTTAAAAAAAAAAAATTTTACTCCTTATTATTATTATTACCATTATTTTGTTATTTTATTTTTAAAAAAGATTTATTTATTTATTGGAAAGTCAGATATACAGAGAGGAGGAGAGACAGAGAGGAAGATCTTCCGTCCGATGATTCACTCCCCAAGTGAGCGCAACAGCCGATGCTATGCCGATCCAAAGCCAGGAGCCTCTTCCGGGTCTCCCACGCGGGTGCAGGTTCCCAAAGCTTTGGGCCGTCCTCGACTGCTTTCCCAGGCCACAAGCAGGGAGCTGGATGGGAAGTGGAGCTGCCAGGATTAGAACCGGCGCCCATATGGTATCCTGGCACGTTCAAGGCAAGGGCTTTAGCCGCTAGGCCACGCCGCCAGGCTCTATTATTATTATTTTATGATACAGTTTCATAGGCCCTGGGATTTCCCTTACCCGCCCCAATCCCCCTCCCCCGCTTAGTTCCCTCTATATCATACTAAGGTTTAGTTCTTCACACACAGTCATATGTCCATCGCTGCGGGCATGGACAATGGCAGAGTCCAGCATCCTATTGTCAACATATAGTAAGCAGCTTCACTGTAAGTCCATCTTTGTCTGGAAGTAGAAATGCATACTACACTGTATCCTCACGTCTAGATATGTTAGTCTCCATTGCACAGCTCCTGTTCATCCCTTCAAATGAAAAGTCGTAACACAAAATCAACACTAGAAAGAAAAACAGAAATTTACAATGCCATGAAACTAAATGACATGTTACTAGATAGGACAGTCTCTATTACACAATTACTATACATCCCCTGAAATGAAGAGCCACAAAACAAAATCAACATCAGGGAGAAAAAAGAAATTAATACCATGCACTTAAATAACATGCTACTGAATGACTAATGTGTCGCTGAAGAAATATAAAGGGAAATCAAGCATCTTCTTGAAGAAAGTGATGCTACTGTATGGTCTAGGAGTCATTGAAGAATTGAACGAAAAGAAAGTGTTCTGAAGAGGTGAAACTAACGAAAACATCAAAATCCAAGAGATATAGCTTCCACTGATCTTTGTTGGTGAGATGTGCCTCCCGCAGGCAACAAATAGATGGGTTTGGTTTTTTCATCCACTCTACTAATCTGTGATGTTTGATTGATGAGTTTAAGCCATTGACATTCAGGGTTAATATGAATGGGTGTTCATTGGGCCCTGTCATTTTCGCAATAGGTTGCTCTTTGATTTAGTCTTCTGTTTTCATTTTGCTGGCAAGTTGTTTGCATTTGCCTATGGTTTTGGTGGGCACTATTCCTGTTCTCTGTCAAGAGAACATTGTGAAGTACCATTTGTAGGGCAGGTTTGGAAGAGGCATATTCTTTTAACTTTTCTGGACTGTGCAAGAATTTTATGTCATTTTCAAAGACAAAGGAAAGTTTGCTGGGTATGTTATCCTGGGCTGACAATTTTTTGCTTTTAGAATCCGAACTATGTCACTCCATTCTCTTCTTGCCTGTAGAGTTTCCTGTGAGAGGTCTCCTGTGAGTTTAATTGGCATTCCTTTGTATGTCAGTTGATTTTTCTCACGTGCACATTTAAGGATCTTTTCCTTATGCTCGACTGAAGAGAGCTTGGTGATCATGTGTCGTGGTGAAGATCTCTTTTGGTCAACCCTGGTGGGAGTTCTGTGCCCTCCTGGATGTTGTTTCCCAATTCTTTCTCTAGGGAAATTTTCCCTTACTTCATTAAATACATTTTTAAGCCCAGTTTCTCTTTCTGCACCTTCTGGAACTCCCATAACTGTTATATTTGGCCTTTTAAAAGTGTCTCTTGGGCCCGGCGGTGTGGCCTAGCCTTGAACATGCTGGGATCCTATATGGGCACCGGTTCTAATCCCGGCAGCTCTGCTTCCCATCCAGCTCCCTGCTTGTGGCCTGGGAAAGCAGTCGAAGACGGCCCAAAGCTTTGGGACCCTGCACCCGCACGGGAGACCTGGAAGAAGTTCCTGGATCCTGGCTTTGGATCGGCATAGCATCGGCCATTGCGCTCATTGGACGGAAGATCTTCCTCTGTCTCTCCTCCTCTCTGTATATCTGATTTTCCATTAAATAAATAAATCTTTAAAAAAAAAAAAGTGTCTCTTAATTCTTGAATATTTTTTTAGCCTGATCCAGATCTGTTTCCAGCTTTTTGTTTGTTTCCCCCTGGTGACAGGAGATATCTGCCAATTCTGAGATTTTTTTTATTTTTTCTGCTTGTTTCATTCTATTTTGGAGACTCTTTATTGGACTTTCAATTAGTTCCACTGTATTCTTCATTTCTGATGTATCAGCTTTCATTTGATTCATTTCCTGTGTGACATATTCCTTAAATTCCTTGAACTCCTGCTTTATGTACTTCTCGTTGTTGATATGAGCTTTATAGCAAGGGTTTTGAATTCTGTATCCCCCATTCTCTCGACGTCTTCCTCAGTGAAGTCTGAGGTTGGCAAAGGCTGTGCTCCTTTGCAGGGGAGTCTTCAGTAATATTCATTGTGCCGCTGTCTCTTCTTTTGCTCTTGGTCATTGCACTTCTAGTTACCTCCTTGGGGCAGGTTTCTAAGCTCTGTCACGCACAGGTCTGCAGTTCATTTTTACTTATTGTGCTTGGCACACGGCTCTTTGTTTGCAGTCACTCCCTCCAGCGAGTTCCAGGTCTGGGTTCTTATGTTAGATTTCCACCACGGTCTCTGTAGCCCCAGCTCCTGCTTCACCACTCCCCACCTCCTGTGACACCGTGCTGAGGCTGCATAATTGTCTGTACAACCTTTCTCCCCCTTCCAGTTGGAGCAGGTCCCAGGATTTGGGAGACACCAGGTGTCCTATATAGCTAGGTTGTTGGTGGTGTTGATCATGTTGGAACCTGTTGGCTGTTGGGTCTGAGGGCCACATGGACGTACTTTGACCCATAAGATGCCATGGTTGGTACTATTTTCCTGTGGGTCCAGTGCAATCCACGGAACTCAGTAAGTTCTGGCCGAGCTCAGTGCATGTGCAGCTCACTGTTGTTCCTGCAATCATGAAGCCTTTGCCACAGTGTAAGAAATGGCACCCGATGTGCCACAACTAGAGTTCTTGACCTGCTGGCCGTCAGGTCTGAGGGCTATCCAGTTCTATCTTGGATGCAACCTGTAGGATGCCACGTGGTTGCAGTTCGCTGATCCAGGAATGAATTCATTCCCAGCTCCCTGCATGCACAGTCCTGTCCATAGCTCTCGCCTCGTTACACAAAATGGCGCCTGACGCAGCTCTAGGAGGTGGACCCGGCTGTGAAATCCACCCTGTTGCTGCACTGCCTGTCTGGGACCTACCGCTGTGTCTCTGCTTCTGGCCAAATCACACAGACCAGCGGGACAGGCAGTTCTTTGTGTTCACCTTCTGAGCTCCCGCTGCATGTCTCTTCCCACCCTACTTGTGGCCTGGGAAAGCAGACAAGGACAGCCAAGGGCTTGGGACCCTGCACTCACATGGGAGACCCAGAGGAGGCTCCTGGCTCCTGGCTTTGCATCGGCTCAGCTCCGGCCACTGTGGCCACTTGGGGAGTGAACCAGCACTGGATGGAGAATCTGCTGGAGATGACCAGGCCAGACAGCCTGGAGAAGAAGCAGGCCTTTCTCTGCTGCTACAGACGGCCGTGGGCACGCTGGTGTCCCGGCTGAGGCCGAGCTGCCCACCTGCACGCGAGGACGCACTGTGGTCAGTGTGCAGGTGCGGGAGCGAGAAGAAAGCGACCACAGAGCAGCTCCCGCAGCGGGAGGCGCTCAGACCGGAGGCCGGAGGAGGACTCCGAGGGCTGGGACAAGCGGCCAGCGTGCAGGGGGCAGTGAGAGGCCGTCGGGCCGGGCCCCTGCACCTTCCCAGGTGCCCCGCAGGACCACGCTGCAGAGACAGGTCCAGGCTGCAGAGACACAGCCTAGCTCCAGAAGCTCCCCCTGCGAGCGCGCGGCCTGGCTCCTCCCGCAGCACAGGACGCGGCCACAACACTGGACCTGCAGACTGGACCTGTGGGCGAGCGCAGGGCCGCTCACTGCGCAGGCGCGGCCGGGAGCTCCGCGGGAGGGCGGGCCGTGGGCGGGGCCAGAGACAGTGGGCGGAGCGAACGTCAATGGGCGGAACGAGTTTCAGTGGGCGGGGCGAGCGTGCTCTGGGCGGAACAAGCGGCAGTGGGCGGGGAGAGCGTCAATGGCGGGCCGAGCGTCAATGGGCGGGCCGAGCGTAGGTGGGCGGGGCTCCAGGCTGAGGCACCCGCATTCGCCCAGGTACGTCTCCCCCGGGGCGGGGCCTGCGTGGCGGGGAGGGCGGAGCTTCTCGGAAGGTGGGGCTTGCGTCTCGGGGGCGGGGTCTCTCGGGGGCGGGGCCTCGCGCGGCGTCCGGCCAAAGCCGCCGACCGGAAGCGCTCTTTGCACTTTGCCGCTGACACCTGGGCCATCCCGGGCAGCATGGGCCGGAAGGTGACCGTGGCCACTTGCGCCCTCAACCAGTGGGCCCTGGACTTCGAGGGCAACCTGCGCAGGATTTTGAAGAGTGCGTGTCGGGGGGTGCGGGGCGAGGCGCCTGAGGGGCGGTGGCGCAGCCGTGCACGGGGCGCCCACCTGCACCCCGCTTTCTGCAGGGGGTCCCGGGGTCCTGCAAGGGCAGTGCAAGGCCCTTCCGTCCACACCGCCGGCGTCTGAGGGCTTCAGGTGCGCTGTGTGGAGGTGGGCGGTGGCCTGAGCGGGGAGCCGAGCCGACTCACCTGGGGTCGCCTGGCCCGGGCACCCCTGCACCCCAGGGACGGCATTGCTTGCTGCCAGCCACCACCCCGAGCTGCTTCCTGGGGAGGCAGGGGCCTTGGGCCGTCCTCCACTGCTTTCCCAGACCACAAGCAGGGAGCTGGATGGGAAGTGGAGCTGCCGGGATTAGAACCGGCGCCCACATGGGATGGTGCTGTCTTGGGCGTCCCATGTCCCAGCCCTCACCCCATTTCTGTGTTTCTCTGAAGCCTTGGGGCGTGTTGTGGGGCTGAAACTGCCTCCCCCTCCCTCTCTGTACAAACAGGTATTGAAATTGCCAAGAGCAGAGGAGCCAGGTACAGGCTCGGGCCGGAGCTGGAAATATGGTGAGAATAGGCACGCTCACGGGGGTGCGTGGGTGTACACACGTGCCCTGGGGCCGGCCTGCCGGGGAGCAGGGAAGGCCTGTGAGAGCCCCCCGCTCAGGAGGCTGGCCGCCCCCCGGGGGGCTGGGGGTCCCTTGGGCAGGCTAGAGGCCTGATCCTTCTAGGTCCTGATGTCGGGTGACTGTGGGCGTTCGGCAGGTGGCATGGTGGGAGGCTGGGTCTTGGGGAGGGCGTCCAGTCAGGGTTGCATGGGCACAGAGTGTCACCTGTGTGGCAGACAAGCCCCCACACCCCTGGCATCTCCTGCTTGGGCGTCCCAGGAGCAGGAGCCGAGAGCGGACACGTGCTGCCTTGGTGACCCAAGGCTGGAGCGCGCGGGTGGGCCCAGGGCTCCTTAATTGCAGCTTGAAGGCGTGGGCTGCCTCAGCACGGCGGCCACCTCGGGCTGCTCAGGGGACTCACCTGGGAGGTTGGGAAGCTGACCCGTCCCCGGCTGCACCCCCAGCCAGGAGGGTACGGACAGCGCAGCCCCTGGGCCCGCTGCTCACCGGGCGTGCGCCTGGTCTCACCTGCTCCTCACCCCGTCTGCAGCGGCTATGGATGCTGGGATCATTACCACGAGTCAGACACGCTCTTGCATTCCCTCCAAGTCCTGGCCGCCCTTCTGGACTCTCCGGTCACTCAGGACATCATCTGTGATGTGGGCATGTGAGTGTAAGCTCAGGGGAGCTGGCACACGGTGCCCGCCTCTGGGTGTGTGAGTTATCACAGGGGTGCTGGCACACGGCACGTGCTCCTGGGTGTGTGAGTAAACTCAGGGGAGCTGGCACACGGTGCCCGCCTCTGGGTGTGTGAGTAAACTCAGGGGAGCTGGCACACGGTGCCCGCCTCTGGCTGTGTGAGTGCAAGCTCGGGGGCGGGGAGGGGGCACGCAGCGCCTGCCTCGCCGGGGGGAGTGAGAAGTGCCTGGGTCCCAGGTGTAAGAGGCCTTGTGCTGGAACAGGGGTCTGTTACCACTCTGCCTCCTGCCTCTCGGCCACCTGACACCCTAAGGAGGCGCTCCCTGGAAGCCATTGTTGCACGTTCTAGAAGCTTCCTCTGCACACATGGACACCTCCTCTGTGCCCGTGGCTGCATGCCGTTCCATCCCTTACAGGGAATCCTCCCCACGTCCACCTCGGGGTTGGCTCCGTGTCGCTCCACGCTGACGTGGCCACACAGCCCCGGGTGGTGTGGGTTCTGTAGGCGTGGACGCGCTGCAGCGCATTCTCAGGGCACTGTGCCCAGCTCCGGGGCTGGGCCTGCCTGCCGTGCTCTCCTTCGGTCTCCTGGAGCCTGGCGTTCACCCCATCAGACCTCACGCTGACGTCCGTGCCGTGGGGTCTCTCAGGCGGCACGCCATGCGCTCCCACTGTGGCGAGGGTGGGTGGTGCCGCGTCTCCGTGTGGCCCGCTGTGGCTGGCGACCTCACACACAGCAGTGGCCTGAACTTTAAGATTTATTTACTTTTATTTGAAAGGCAGATTTACAAAGAGAAGGAAAAACAAGATCCACTGGCTCACTCCCCAAGTAGCCAAAATGACTGGAGCTGAGCCACTCCGAAACTAGGAGCAGGAGCCCAAGACTTGGGCCAGCCTGCTCTGCTTTCCCAGGCCACACGCAGGAAGCTGGAAGGGCAGTGGGGCTGCCGGGACACAAACTGGTGCCCATATGGGATCCCGGTGCCACAGGCGGAAGATGAGCACGCTTACTCCCTGAGACGAGGGTGAATGTTGACCCGGGGGTGAGAGGTCGCGTGGGGACAGGCCTGCAGCAAGTCAGGAAGTGCCACAGGCTCTGGGATTCCCCTTACCGCCTCCCCAAGTCCCCCACCCCCACCACTGAGTCCCCTATATCATTAGTATAGTTCTTCATGCACAGTCATATGTCCATCATTGCGGGCGTGGACAATGGCAGAGTCCAGCATCCTATTGTCAAGATGTAGTTAACTGTTTCCTTGGGAGTCCATCTTTGTCCGGAAGTGGAGATGCATACTGCATTGTATCCTCTCATCTGGATAGGATAGTCTCCATGACACAGTTACTACACATCCCCTTAAATGAAAAGCCACAAAACAAAATCAACAACAGGAAGAAAAGAAGAAATTTTAAAAAGCCTGTTTTTAAACAATGGTGTGGAGAGGCGGGGAGATAGGACACCTTCCACGCACTCTCAAGTTTTTATTGTTAAAATGATAGCAGTCGCATCTGATTTTTTCCCCCAACTTCTTGTTTATCTGAGAGTCAGAGATAGTGACCGATGAGGCAGCTGCCACCTGCTGGGCGAGTCCCCAGGTGTGCCCAGTGGAGTCGGTCCGAGGGCACAGCCACCCCCCAGGTGTGCCCAGTGGAGTCGGTCCGAGGGCATAGCCGGGAGCTGGCTACTCAATCTGGGTCACCCGTGGGGATGACAGGGACCCCACCACTCGAGCCAGCTGTGCTGCTTGCTAGGGGTGGCTTAGGAACCAGGCGCCAGGAGTAGGGGTGGGTGTGGCCTCCCGTGGGGGCGCACGCTGGTATCCTAACTGCTTTGCCAAACACCTGTGCTGATTTTTTCTTCCCTTTGAAGCATAACTTTTAGGGAATTTGTAAGCTGACACGTGAAACAGGAATAAGAACTCCAGATCTCCCCCACCCTGCCTGGGAGGGGGTGCTGAGTCCCGCCCCAGCTACTGGGGCTGGCCGGCTTGCTGTCCGCAGTGAGCCATCCTGTGCCCGCTGCCGAGCTGGCCTGCCTGCCCTCCGTCCCATGCCCTCTGCCGAGCTGGCCTGCCTGCCCTCCGTCCCGTGCCCACTGCCGAGCTGGCCTGCCTGCCCTCCATCCCGTGCCCACTGCCGAGCTGGCCTGCCCTCCGTTCCGTGCCCGCTGCCGAGCTGGCCTGTCTGCCCTCCGTCCCGTGCCCACTGCCGAGCTGGCCTGTCTGCCCTCCGTTCCGTGCCCGCTGCCGAGCTGGCCTGTCTGCCCTCCGTCCCGTGCCCACTGCCGTGCTGGCCTGCCCTCCATCCTGTGCCCGCTGCCGAGCTGGCCTGCCTGCCCTCCGTCCCGTGCCCACTGCCGAGCTGGCCTGTCTGCCCTCCGTCCTGTGCCCGCTGCCGAGCTGGCCTGCCTGCCCTCCGTCCCGTGCCCGCTGCCGAGCTGGCCTGCCCTCCGTTCCGTGCCTCTGCCGAGCTGGCCTGCCCTCCGTCCCGTGCCTGCTGCCGAGCTGGCCTGCCCTCCGTTCCGTGCCCACTGCCGAGCTGGCCTGCCTGCCCTCCGTCCCGTGCCCACTGCCGTGCTGGCCTGCCCTCCATCCTGTGCCCACTGCCGTGCTGGCCTGCCCTCCATCCTGTGCCCGCTGCCGAGCTGGCCTGCCTGCCCTCCGTCCCGTGCCCGCTGCCGAGCTGGCCTGCCTGCCCTCCGTTCCGTGCCTGCTGCCGAGCTGGCCTGTCTGCCCTCCGTCCCGTGCCCACTGCCGAGCTGGCCTGTCTGCCCTCCGTCCCGTGCCCGCTGCCGAGCTGGCCTGCCCTCTGCAGCGGGCCACACCTCTGGGCTTGTTCAAAGCAGACAGGGCAGGAGCGTGGTGGAATGCCTTCTCGGGACTTGCCCGTTTCTCGTGTTTCCTGGTCACTTGCAGCACCGCTCGCTGCTTGGTCTTTTCTGGATCACATGTGTCTGGAATGTTCTTTAACAACGAAAGCTGGCCTCCACGTGCGGACGGAGGCAGGTGCTTCCTGGTGGGTGCCGGTGGCTGTCAGCTGGCGCGTTCCAGTGACTGCTGCCTCTGAACTCTGACCTTTGCTCTCTGTGGCTTGCGAGGTTGGAGGCCACACGTGCTGTGGGAGGCGTCTGCATCTTGGATGCCAGATGCCCTGGGATGAAAGGGCCCCCATGTGTGTCTGGGCCATAGCACATCTGGCTTTGGCTCCGGGGTGGGGCTAGACGCTCTCCGGGTCCTCGTGCCATGGCCAGCGAGGGCCTGGGGTGAGCCACCCCCGGATGATCCCAGGGTGGAGGCTGAGGGTGCGGGGCCAGTGGCAGAACGGGAGCCTGTGGAGCCCCAGCGCCCATCTTCCCAACATGTGCTTCAGTTGCCGTGTCCCTCTCCTGCAGCCAGGGCAGCCCAGCTCTGCCCCCCACCGCACCCCCTGCCATGCCCCTCTGGCCTAGTCTCTCACCTGCAGCCAGGGCTTCTCCTTGTTGTCCAGAGGGTACGGCGAGTGGGAAGCGCCACCCTGTGGCCAGAGGGGCTGATGCGGAATAGACAGCCGATGCTTTAGAGCCCAGTGGCTCTCAGGCCGTGTCCTGCTGGGGTTGGACGTGTCCAGGTGTGGCAAGAAGCCTCCTCACCTGAGCTCCTCACCTGAGGGCAGAGCCAAGATGTGGACACTTGGCCTACCAGAATGTCTTCTGGTTTTGGGTCAGTGCCCATGGGAAGCACATGCAGGCCCTTTTTGGAAACTCCATCTGAGAATATCACAGAGAGCCTGTGGTTCCCAGTGCTGCTGGGGAGCTGTAGGGGACTGGGGGGACCCCACTGTGGTGGGAGGATGCAAGCATCTGCCCTGTGTCCGCAGGCCCATCATGCACCGCAACGTACGCTACAACTGCAGGGTCATCTTTCTCAACAGGTGGGAGCCCCTGCGGGAGGTGGCCCTGGCTGGGGGCGTTGATCCTGAGGGGAGGAGGTGGCCCTGGGCTGGGGGCGGTGATCCTGCGGGGAGGAGGTGGCCCCTGCGGGAGGTGGCCCTGGCTGGGGGCGGTGATCCTGCGGGGAGGAGGTGGCCCAGCGGGAGGTGGCCCAGGAGGAGGTGGCCTGTGCTGGGCAGGGGAGGTGACCTGGGACAAGGTGGTCCTGGGGGGAGCAGGTGGCCTGGGAAGAGTTGGCCATGAATCCCCTTGGCCCCAGGCTGGGACCTGAGCTGGCATCCTGGGAGCGCAGTGCTGGATACTCCAGGAAATGCCCACCCTGGTTCAGGGTAGTGCATGGACACGTGGGTTCTGTGACATCCCCTGGCTGGGTCTCAGTCACCACGGGCTCCCTCGGGCACTGGCAAGGCCCAGACGGTGGGGTTGGGAGCCAAGCCCTGTTGGGGGGCTTCCTGTGGCTAGCCAGGGCTGCAACTTGGGGGCTGTGCTGCTGCCAGCCTGAGAGCTGGGGCTCAGCACCGTTTGGCCTCTAGGAAAATACTGCTCATCAGACCCAAGATGGCCTTGGCCAACGAAGGCAACTACCACGAACTGCGCTGGTTCACCCCGTGGTCGCGGAGCCGGTGAGTGGCTGCAGGACACAGACGGAGGGGCAGGGCAGGGGCCCGGCATCGGCTGCCTCCAGTGTCGCAGCTTCAGGAACGTTCTGAGTGGGGGATTTGGCTGCCAGGGCTTTTTAGTCAATGAAGTGTGTGCAGCCCATGGTGCAGTGGCCACGTCCTCCCTGTGAGGGACGCTTGGCTCATGGCCAGGGATGGCCCTGGTCTGCAGTGCCAGGTGGTTGGAGGCCTACTGTGAGTACAGTGAGTGTGCAGGGCCTGTGTGTGTCAGGTGGGCGTGCAGGGCCCTGTGTGTGTCAGGTGGGTGTGCAGGGCCCTGTGTGTGTCAGGTGGGTGTGCAGGGCCCTGTGTGTGTCAGGTGGGGGTACAGGGTCCTGTGTGTATCAGGTGGGTGTACAGGTTCCTGTGTGTCAGGTGGGTGTGCAGGGCCTGTGTGTGTCAGGTGGGTGTGCAGGGCCCTGTGTGTGTCAGGTGGGTGTGCAGGGCCCTGTGTGTGTCAGGTGGGTGTGCAGGGCCCTGTGTGTGTCAGGTGGGTGTGCAGGGCCTGTGTGTGTCAGGTGGGTGTGCAGGGCCTGTGTGTGTCAGGTGGGCGTGCAGGGCCCTGTGTGTGTCAGGTGGGTGTGCAGGGCCCTGTGTGTGTCAGGTGGGTGTGCAGGGCCTGTGTGTATCAGGTGGGTGTGCAGGGCCTGTGTGTGTCAGGTGGGTATGCAGGGCCTGTGTGTGTGAGGTGGGTGTGCAGGGCCTGTGTGTATCAGGTGGGTGTACAGGGCCCTGTGTGTGTGAGGTGGGTGTGCAGGGCCTGTGTGTGTCAGGTGGGTATGCAGGGCCCTGTGTGTGTCAGGTGGGTGTGCAGGGCCTGTGTGTGTCAGGTGGGTGTGCAGGACCCTGTGTGTGTCAGGTGGGTGTGCAGGGCCTGTGTATATCAGGTGGGTGTGCAGGGCCTGTGTGTGTCAGGTGGGTATGCAGGGCCTGTGTGTGTGAGGTGGGTGTGCAGGGCCTGTGTGTATCAGGTGGGTGTACAGGGCCCTGTGTGTGTGAGGTGGGTGTGCAGGGCCTGTGTGTGTCAGGTGGGTGTACAGGGCCCGTGTGTGTCAGGTGGGCGTACAGGGCCTGTGTGTGTCAGGTGGGTGTGCAGGACCCTGTGTGTGTCAGGTGGGTGTGCAGGGCCCTGTGTGTGTCAGGTGGTTGTGCTTCCTGCATGTGTGTGGGTGTACAGGGCCCTGTGGGTGTGGACACCCACCATCTCCTCCACACTTCTCACCCCTGCTGTGCCCCCCTAGTCAGGTGGAGGAGTACTTTCTCCCCCGGATGCTGAAGGATCTGACACAGCAGGTGAGGCCCTGGACAGGAAGCCACTTCCCTCGTGGGTTTGCTCTTTTCAGCTCTGTGTGGGCTGTGGAGGGCGTGGCCGTGGGGTCCCCAGGGTGTTGGCTCCCCTGGTGAGTGTGGGCCTCTGGCCAACCTGGCAGGACTCTTCCCCTGTGGGGTCCCCGTCAGCCTGGTGGGCTCTTCCCGGCCTCCTGGGACCCAGAAGGACTTGAGGGGTTGCATTCACTGCTTCCTCCTCTGTCAGGCCCGGTCCTCAGCCTGCACCCCCGGGGGTGAGCAATCCTGGGGTCCAGCAGGAGAGCCCAGCCCCCGTCCCCGTGCCTGGCAAGGAGGGCTGTGTGGCCCGGTCCCCTTGGGGACAGTGGAGACGGAGCTCCACCATGCCCATGTGGTCAGGCTCAGGAGGCACCCGGAAGCCAGGTTGCAGCAGCCAGCCAGCACGGTGGTCTGCTGGACTCGGGGTGGGCTTCCTGGGCTGGACATGTTCTGTTGTCTGTTGTGGGGGCGGGGAAGGGGGCGTCTTCCTGGGGTACAGAATGGGCACGGAGCCCAGAGGGGTGGCTGACTTCCGCCTGCAGGAGACTGTGCCCTTTGGAGACGCGGTTCTGGCCACCCTGGACACGTGCCTCGGGAGTGAGATCTGCGAAGAGCTCTGGACGCCCCACAGGTCAGCAGGCAGGCTGGGCTCCTGGCTGGGGGCCGCGGAGATGCTGGGGGAGGCGGCTGGGAGTCCACACCTGCCTCTGCCTGCAGCCCGCACGTGGACATGGGCCTGGATGGTGTGGAAATCTTCACCAACGCCTCAGGCAGCCACCACGTGCTCCGCAAAGCCCACGCCAGGGTGGACCTGGTGACCATGGCCACCACCAAGGTAAGCAGGTCAGGCAGGCGGCTGGAGCACTTGGGGTCCTTGTCACAGCCAAGGCTCGGTGTGCTGACCTGTACTGGCCAGTGGTGGGTGGGCCTTGCTGACCACGCCCCTCCATTGTGCGGGTCTGTGCTGACCACGCCCCTCCTTTGGGCGGGCCTTGCTGACCATGCCCCTCTGGGCGGGCCTGTTCTGACCACTGGGCAGGCCTGTGTGGACCATGCCCCCTCCTTTGGGTAGGTCTGTGCTGACCACTGGGTGGGCCTGTGCTGACTGCGCCCCTCCTTTGGGCGGGCCTTGCTGACCACGCCCCTCCTTTGGGCAGGTCTGTGCTGACCACTGGGTGGGCCTGTGCTGACCACGCCCCTCCTTTGGGCGGGCCTTGGTGACCACGCCCCTCCTTTGGGCAGGTCTGTGCTGACCACTGGGTGGGCCTGTGCTGACTACGCCCCTCCTTTGGGCGGGCCTGTGCTGACCACGTCCCTCCTTTGGGCAGGCCTTGCTGACCACGCCCCTCCTTTGGGCAGGCCTTGCTGACCACGCCCCCTTTGGGCAGGCCTTGCTGACCACATCCCTCCTTTGGGCAGGTCTGTGCTGACCACTGGGTGGGCCTGTGCTGACTACGCCCCTCCTTTGGGCGGGCCTTGCTGACCACGCCCCCTCTGGGCGGGCCTGTTCTGACCACTGGGCGGGCCTGTGTGGACCATGCCCCCTCCTTTGGGCAGGTCTGTGCTGACCACTGAGTGGGCCTGTGCTGACCACGCCCCTCCTTTGGGCGGGCCTGTGCTGATGACCGCTCCCTGGTCTTGACATGCTGGCCCTCATCCCCCCTCCCGGCCAGTCTTGGAAGAGGAAGAGGCACAGTGGTCTGTGCTGTGACCCGCGTCAGAGCATGCCCTGTCCTGGAGCTGGGGCAGAGGGAGAGGCCAGCACTGATAGCTCTTGCCCTGCCCTTCCCAGAACGGGGGCATCTACCTGCTGGCCAACCAGAAGGGCTGCGATGGAGACCGCCTCTACTACGATGGCTGCGCCATGATCGCCATGAACGGCAGCATCTTTGCACAGGGGACCCAGTTCTCCCTGGAGGACGTGGTAATGGACGGGTGCCCAGGGCTGAGGCCGGCCCCTTGGACGCAGGCTGCCGTGGGGCGGGGGAGGCAGACCCTGGTCGCAGATGGTACAGCCTGTACATCCAAACAGCACGTGCTAGTCTGTGGCCCGGGAAGCGGGGCTGTGGAGACCCCACAACCGCAGGCAGGAAGGGGTTCTGGAGCGTGCGGTGGGCCAGCGGGAAGGAGGGCACCCTGTTGGCACCGTTACCTTCTCTGCCGCCACATCCACGAGGCTACCCTGGTGTGGTGTTCCTGGAGGTGCCCACGGGGAAGTGGTCACCACCCCTACGCGCAGGCTCTCCTGGCTCTGCTACAGCGGGAGGCAGGGGCCGGGGATGCCATGGACAGCCGGTGCGGCCACAAGCCTCTCCTACAGGCTCCTCCGGCTGCCCTCAGGGAGGACAGTGTCCCTGGAGCTCACCATGCACCTTGGCCAGACCTGGCCTGGGGCTCTGAGTGTGTGTGCTCCGTCCGTCTGTTCACGTGGCTTTGCCCAGGACATGGCAGCTGTGTGCCCGTTCCAGGTCCAGCCCACCACCCCCTGCTGCATCGGAGACACTGCAGCCCGCTAACATCTCAGAGCCACCAGCCCTCCCTCCCCACAGGGCCACGGCCCAGGGCTGTGCTGTTGGCCGTGTCCGTGACTGGCTGAGAGGAGGCGGTGTGCTGGCCCCGGGCTGGACCCTCCTGGGGCCTTCCTGGTGATGGGCAGGGGGTGCACACAACCTGGGTATGCAAGAGGCAGGAAGCCACTTTCTCTCCCCAAACACCCCCTCCAGGAAGTCCTCACAGCCACCCTGGACCTGGAGGACGTCCGGAGCTACAGGGCAGAGATATCGTCCCGCAACCTGGCGGTGAGTGCCCCGTGGCCATCTGCTTGGCGCTCGCCAGCTGCAGAAGCGTTGGCGGGCATTCCCGCCTCGGCGTGTGTGTGTGCGTGCCTCAGTTTCCTGCATTGTCCTTGTAGGCCATGGGCACTTCTGTCTGTCTGCTGGGAATACTGGCAGGGGTGTGTGCCTGTCTGCACAGCTCTGTGCAGTGCGCCTGGGCATGGAACCGCTGGGGCTTGTGGGAACTTGGTATTCGTCTTCCCGGGCAGCAGCCTGCCCGCTGGCCCCAGGGTTCACTGTGGTCCGTTCCTAGGGGCTGTGGGCAGGGCTCTGTAGCCTGCATGGCCACCACAAGCCTGCCCGGCCACCACAAGCCTGCCCGCTGCCCCAGGGCTTGCGTGCTCCGTTCCCAGTGGCTCTGGACAGGGCTCTGTTGCCCGCACCGCTGTCACCATCCCCAGCCTCACGTCGGGCAGCCGTGCGGCTCCTGGTGTGGACGTTCCAGGGTCTGACCGTCCACCACAGGCCAGCAGGGTGAGCCCCTACCCCCGGGTGAAGGTGGACTTTGCCCTCTCACGGCCTGAGGACCTCCTGGAGCCCGTGTCTGCACCTGTGGAGTGGACGTACCACAGCCCCGAGGAGGAGATAAGGTGAGTGTCTGGCTGTGCCCAGGGCTGCCCGGCTGCACGGGTGTCTGTGGGTGAGGCTGTGGACAGTGGAGGCGGTGTCCGGCACCCAGGGTGGAGTCAGTTCTCCAGGGCGGTTCCCACAAGTCCCACCCGCCCCCGCAGGCTGGGGAGTGGGAAGGGGTGGGGCCCCTAGCTGGGCGCAGCTCATGTGCGTACTGCCTGCTCCGCAGCCTGGGACCTGCCTGCTGGCTCTGGGATTTCTTGAGACGAAGCCAACAGGTGAGCGCTGTGTCCAGCCTCCTCGGCTACTGCTCGGGGCATTTCCACTGCTGTGCTTTGCTCAGTACGCACAAGCCAGAGGCGGTTCACCTCTGCCTCAGCGGGCAGCTCGGGGACCCGGTGCCATGGCCGGGCTGGGCGCCGCTGGCAGCCACAGCCCCTGGGCTCACCACAAACCTTCCTGTGGGGTCCTGTTCCTCAGCCAGCTGGTGCTGCCCCATGGCCAAGGGCCTTCTTCCCCCTGGGGAAGCCACTCTGGCCTGGGGTCTGGACAGCAGCTGAGCAGATCCCTGGGCAGGGCTCTTTGCGGAGGCTGTACCCACACCTGTGTCCACCTGCCCCTTGCAGGCCGGGTTCTTCCTGCCGCTGAGTGGGGGCGTGGACAGCGCGGCCACGGCCTGCCTGGTCTACTCCATGTGCCACCAGGTCTGTGAGGCTGTGCGGAGTGGAAGTAGGTGATGGTGGAGGCCTGGGGGGCTGCAATGAGCAAGGGTGCATGGGGCAGGGCAGCAGAGACTGCTGGCCAGGGGGCATTGCAGGGCTGTGCACAGATGTCACGGACTCTGGTCCAGCCACTAAGGACCTCTCGTGGGTGTGGTGCCCATGTGGCCTTATCTGCCTGCTTATGTGACCCGTCCGTGGCCAGGGCAGGGGCTCCAACCAAGGGTTAGGCAGCCCAGGCTCAGCTTCCTAAACCCCCGTCTGTACACAGTATGTAGCTGAGGGCATGAGGAGCTGTGGGGGTACAAGATGGGGCTGAGCTGGGCACCGGTGGCCGTGTGGGGCTGAGCTGGGCTCCTGGTGACCCTGTGGGATTGGGCTGGGCTTCTGTGACCGTATGGGGCTGAGCTGGGCACCGGTGGCCGTGTGGGGCTGAGCTGGGCTCCTGGTGACCGTGGAGGGCTGAGCTGGATTGCTGTGACCATGTAGGGCTGAGCTCGGCTCCTGGTGACCGTGTGGGGCTGAGCTGGGCTCCTGGTGACTGTGTGGGGCTGAGCTGGGCACCTGTGACCGTGCGGTCTGAGCTGGGTTCCTGGTGACCGTGCGGTCTGAGCTGGGCGCCTGTGACCGTGCGGTCTGAGCTGCGTTCCTGGTGTCCGTGCAGGGCTGAGCTCGGCTCCTGGTGACTGTGTGGGGCTGAGCTGGGCTCCTGGTGACTGTGTGGGGCTGAGCTGGGCTCCTGGTGACTGTGTGGGGCTGAGCTGGGCACCTGTGACCGTGCGGTCTGAGCTGGGCTCCTGGTGACCCTGTGGGGCGGGCTGTCTGGGCGTGAGTCTGAGCCCCACACAGCCCTGCTGGCCTGTCCCTGTGTTCGTGACCCACAGACCAGGACGTACTGGCCGACATCCGGGCCATCGTGGACCATAGCAACTACAGCCCCAAAGACCCCCGGGAGCTCTGTGGCCGCGTGCTGACCACCTGCTACATGGCCAGCCAGAACTCCTCCCAGGAGACCTGCAGCAGGGCCCGGGAGCTGGCCCAGCAGATCGGAAGGTAGTGGCTGGCCCGCGGGGTTCGCCAGGCAGGCAGTGGTGCTGGTGCCTACACTGGGGTCCTGCGGTGGGCATCTGCCCTCTCCGGCCCAGCTCCTGGCTGGGCAGGATCATGCCCGCCCTCTGCCCTCTTCCACACGTCCTGGGCACACCTTTCCAAAGAAATGGGCATGGCGAGGGCGGGGCCTCCTCTACCCCCACCTGAGGCAAGTGGGCAGACGCCTTTCCAAAGGGGTGTGGTCCTTCCAGAGGTTTCATTTGTCCTGCCTCTGCTGAGGGGGAGTGAGGGGGACAGCTACCCCTCGGGCAGTTCCTCTGTGCTGAGGGACCAGGCCCAGGCGAGGGGGCCTGTGCCAGACAATGGCCCGCGTGGCCGGGCCCACAGGCAGGAAGAGCAGTGGCCATGAGCGCTGCAGGGTGCAGGGGCCACGGTGGTCATGTCGGACTGTCTGCCCCTCTCACAGCCACCACATCGGCCTAAACATCGACCCCGCCGTCCAGGCCGTGGTGGGCATCTTCAGCCTGGTCACGGGGAAGAGTCCTCAGTTCGCAGCGCATGGAGGAAGCCTCAGGGAAAACCTGGCCTTGCAGAACGTGCAGGTGCCGCCCCCTGGGCCGGGGTCGCCAGGCGGGAGGGGCCGCGGAGGGCAGGGGCGAGGCCGCTCATCCCGCGGCGTCGCGTGCAGGGCTGTCTGCAGCTGTGCTAAGGTGTGCATGGAGCAGGGCTTGTGTGTGAGGGACAAGCGTGTGGCTCCGTGTGTAAGCATGTCACATGTACTCGTACGTGTGATCAGCGTGTAAGTACACGATCACGTGTGGACACGGGGACTGTGCGTGTGTTGAACATGTGTGAGCCTTACATGTGGTGTGAGTGTGTACTTGTGTGTCAGGAGATGTTAAGTGAGAGTGTGTGTCTGTCTGGTAAGCACCTGTATGGATGAGCGTGTGTGTGTGTGTGTGTGTGTGTGTGTGTGTGTGTGTGTGTGTGTGTTCCATGTTCCCCGCCTCTCCTGGCTGGGCAGACCAGCGATCATAGATGGACAGCCTCTGCTTGTCACTGCAGAGTGCCAGGGCAGCCTCCCAAGGGTGCTGGGCCCCTGCGTGCTCAGGGCGCCCCCTCCTATGCCTACAGGCCAGAATCCGCATGGTCCTCGCCTACCTGCTGGCTCAGCTGAGCCTGTGGTCTCGGGGCGTCCGCGGGGGACTGCTGGTGCTGGGGTCTGCCAACGTGGACGAGAGGTGCGTGCAGCTGGCAGCCGTGTCCCGGGGTCCCCCAGTTCCCATGCTGTGGCTGCCGTGTTTCATCACGCACCCCGTACTCCCCGGTCCCTGAAGCTGGCCGAGCTCCTGGCTGCCTGTGTGGCCGGGCTCTGAGCCTGTGCCCCGTCTGTCGCAGCCTCCTGGGCTACCTGACCAAGTACGACTGCTCCAGCGCGGACATCAACCCCATCGGTGGCATCAGCAAGACCGACCTGAGAGCCTTCGTCCGCTTCTGCATCGGACGCTTCCGGCTTCCGGCCCTGCAGGGGTGAGTGGGGCCCCTGCCGAGCCGCCCTGCTCACTGCCTTCCATGGCTTTCCGCAAGGAGATCAGCTGCCCTCCATGGAGCCCTGGGGGCACTCGCCCTCTGTGGCAACTTTCCCAGTACCCTCGGCTTTGCTGCCATCCTGCAGCAGACAAGTGACCAGCGCCCACCGAGTCTGCCGAGTGGGGGAGCCCACGGTGTCCCCTCTCTTGTCTGGAGACCTTAATGGTGTTCCCAGCAGGGGTGGAGCCAGGGGTGTCCCCCGAAGGAGCTGTCCCTCTTAGGGCCCTAGGCGGTTAGGCTGCCTCAGCCCAGGGTGGCTCTCCCAGGGGGACGCCAGTGCCCAGAATCTCAGCTGGGCTCTGCCCACGGTTTAAGTGGCCAGACAAAGGCATTCTTGGCCCTGGTGACTGACCCCATGTCACGGCCACAGGATCCTGTCGGCACCAGCCACTGCGGAGTTGGAACCCTTAGCCCAAGATGGACAGCTGTCCCAGACGGATGAGGTAATGGCCATGGCTCCGAGGCTCTCCCCCCTCCCGCTCCCTGCCTGGGTTGGGGGTACCTTTCTGCCCCCTGTCCCGGGCAGGACCACCAGGGCCTCTCTGGGTCTGTGACTTCCCACGTGCGTTCTGGCGTCAGCCCCGGGGTTTTCTTTCGTTTTTTAAGATTTATTTATTTTTATTTGAGAGGCAGTTCTGCAGAGAGGAGAGACAGAAAGGTCTTCTGTCAGCTGGTCCGCTCCCCAGATGGCTGTAGCAGCCAGGGCTGCCTGGGCCAGGGAGAAGCCTGGAGCCTGGAGCCTGGCACTCCCTCCGGGCTTCTGCCCATGTGCAGGGGCCAGGGCCCGGCCGTCCTCTGCTGCCTTCCCACGTGCATTAGCAGGGAGCTGGAAGGGAACTGGAACAGCCGCAGCTGCAGCTAGCACTGTCTTCATTTTGATCGCATCTCCTGTGTCAGGATTGTTCAGGGAGATGTCATGAGGGGGTCTGGCTCCCACCACACTGGTCACCTGCAGGCTGGAAAGCCAGGGAGCTGCAGAGGGGCGTGCCTGAGGGAGGTGGGCCGGCCTCATCAGGCGAGGGATGTTGTGTCGTCCTCAGCTGTTCCCTGGCTGAGCCGCGTGCCACTGAGGGCTCAGGGCTGGGCTTGGCGTTCTGTGTGGCCTGGCACCGCGGGGCTGCTGCCACCTGTGGACGCTCCCACGGCCTGGAATCATGGGCCGCTGGCACCCATGGCCCCGAGTTCCGATAGTCCCTCTGCTCCGGGCCTTGTATGTCTTAGGGCGGCGGCTCCGGAGGCGGGGGCAGGACATGCCTGGGCTGGGTGCTGTGCCATGCAGGGTGCCCCTGGCCTGCAGGAGTTTCTCCTCTCAGGGGTCTTGGGTCCAGCCATACCAAGCCCAGGTACTGGCAATGCCGAGAGCCCCGAGGTGTGGGGACAGCCCCGCTGCCTCTCCACCTTCCTTGGCACTCTCAGCTCCCCATCTTCCCGGGGGGCACCCTCCTCTTCCCCAGGTGTCTTTCCTTTTGCGCCCCATCCTGGGATCGAGGGCCAGCTCACCGCCTGCTCTGACTCAGGCTGCCTGTCATGCTGTGGTTGGTGCCTGTCCCCGCAGGAGGACATGGGCATGACGTACGCTGAGCTCTCGGTCTTCGGGCGGCTCAGGAAACTCGCCAAGATGGGGCCTTACAGCATGTTCTGCCGCCTGCTACAACTATGGAGGGACACCTGGACCCCCAGGCAGGTGAGCCCGGGAGCCTCGTGGAGGGACAGGCTCGGGAGATGCTGCCGAGGCCAGCCCACGTGAGCAGAGCCGGCATGGGCTGTGGCTCCTCGTGGAGGGACTGGCTGGGAGATGCTGCCGGGGCCAGCCCACGTGAGCAGAGCCGGCATGGGCCAGTGGTACCTCACCTTCGGCTCTGGGCTCCGCAACCCCCAAACCACCTGAGCCCTCGTAGCATGCAGGAGCTAGCCCTCGCCCCTTCCTGGGGCAGACACACATGCCAGGGCAATCATGGGCCTGCTGTGCTGCTGGCTGGGGCTGCTGCCCAACAGCTGGAGCTGACCGGAAGCCCTGTGGAGTTCATCCACTGCCCCAAGTCTCAGCCTGCCCTGCCCGAGCCCTGGCCTTCCTACTGTTGCCGCTTGGCAAGGTCGCATGCACAGTGACTCCCGCTGGCCCGTCCAGCCTTGGCGTGCCCAGCCTCCCTGACCCACACCCTGCCTGCCAGGTGGCCGACAAGGTGAAACAGTTCTTCTCCAAGTACTCGGCCAACAGACACAAGATGACCACGCTGACACCCGCCTACCACGCTGAGAACTACAGCCCCGACGACAATAGGTTCGACCTGCGGCCGTTTCTCTACAACACCCGCTGGCCCTGGCAGTTCCGCTGCATCGAGAACCAGGTGCGCCCGGCTGGTAGCTCTGTGGAGACATGGCGGCAAGGTGTGGCATGCTCTGAGCGCTCAGGGGAGCCGTGGTGCCCTCCGTGGTGCGGAGACAGTGGCTTGGGGTCTTTCTCTTCTTTCCCCCCACTTAAATGCCTCAACGGGCAGATGCCTGTGAGCGGCCCAGGTGGACCGAGGTGTCTGTCACTTCACAGTGGAGGATGTTGGTATCTGTGCCTGGCCATTTCCCGGCACACGTGGGTGGCTATGCCATGCTGCCGAGCTCTGCCTCCGGACCCCCAGCTGATCCCCGCTTGGCTGCTGGACCTGGCATAGCAGAGAAGATGGGACCAGCGTCCTGGCAGGGTGCAGATTCCATGCTGGACTCACAGGCTGTTGGGTGCTGCGTGTTTCCTGTCATGGCTATGCTCACGTACACACGTGTTGAGTTCAGGGCATGCTGCGTGGGTGTCGGCGCCCAGCAGGCATGGCCGCAGGCCTCTGTCCGTTGGTCGCCGTCATCTCAGCCAGCTCTCCCCTCCCCTCACTGACCTCTCACCCCCCCTTTGTCCTGTGTCCGTGATGGAGTCGCCAGCAGGCCAGCTGCCCCCACTGTGGGTGGACGTGGTTGGTCAACTCCTTGCCAAGAGGAGACGCAGGCAGGAAGGGCAGCCGGTGTGAGCTGGGCTGGACCCCCAGCAGGGGTCTCCCTGAGAGGAACCCGGAGGGGACCTCTGGGTGCAGCGGGCAGCTGGCAGGCAGTGTCCAGGGCCGGCTTTGCCCAGCTGCCAGAGCTGGTCACCTGTGTCCTAGCTGCTGGACTGAGGGTGTCATATGGGATCGGGTAAAGGAAGATGGCCGTGGAGAATCAGAGCCACGCTGGGGCCAGGCAGCAGGAAGTGGGGCTCTCTGTGGATGGGGGCCGCCGGCCGGGGCTCACCGCTGGCTCCGGCGTTGCTGCATTGGTGAACAGGGGCTGGAGTTGCAGGAAGTGCAGAGCCCGGGGTGGTATGCAGTATGGTGCGTGTCCACACAAGGGAGACGGAGGTTGATGGTCCCTCGCTGCTCGTGCTGTGCTGTACGCTGGTGCGTGCGTGAAGGCGTCTCACGGCTTCCCTCCACAGGTGCTGCGGCTCGACGTGGAGTCGCCACAGGCCCTGGGCCTTCCCGACTGAGCACCCCGAGTGGCGTCAGCCGTGCTGCCTCGTCCGTACTTCCACCGCGTCCACCTCCTGTGTGTGGGCCAGTAGCAGTCTCGAGACCGCAATAAAGTAAATGCTTCTTGCCTACGCACGCAGCCCGGGCCTCCCCGCCTGCACCCTCCTCTGGCCAGTCCTGCACTCCAGGAGGCCCTGGGACCTGCCGAGCCTCCTTGCTGGGCTCTGGGACCGACTGTGCCCTGCCCTAGCTGTGGGAGTGGAGGCCATGGCCCCTGGCCACTGTTCTGTCCCCGCCACACATGGCCCTGCTGTGAGTCCTCTGCCCATCCTGCAGAGCCCACAGAGGCTGTGTGAGGGTTGGGAAACCCGGCGTTCCCCTTGGTTCTGGAACCCTCTATCCCAGGCCCCAGGGCGTCTCAGTCTCCCAACCCTGCAGGGTATAGCTGGACAAAGGCCCAAGGTCAGGGGTCTCCAGGGAGCAGGTGCAGAGGGTCCCCAGTATGGCACAGACCCAGGCCTGGGCTAGGGAGGTCTGAGCAGGGGCAGCCCCTGAGGGCTCCAGGAGGACAGGCTGCCATGGTGGCCTTGCTGCCTGTCAGCTCCTGATGTCCCTCATGGCCTCGGCCTGGCCAGGAGCGGCTGTGCCCTGTGGCCTGTCCTGCTGTGGGTGAGGGAGGGAGTCCCAACTGAGAGGAGAGGCTGCCCCGTCTGAGGAATGAGCCCCATCCTCTGGGGTCCCCGTCTGGGGGGAGGCCGCCCTGTCCTCTGATGGGCCCCGTGTGAGGGGGGAGGCCGCCCTGTCCTCTGGGGTCACCGTCTGGGGGGAGGCCGCCCTGTCCTCTGATGGGCCCCATGTGAGGGGGGAGGCCGCCCTGTCCTCTGGGGGACCCGTCTGGGGGGAGGCCGCCCCGTCCTCTGATGGGCCCTGTGTAAGTGGGGAGGCCACCCTGTCCTCTGGGGGCCCTGTGTAAGGGGGGAGGCCGCCCTGTCTTCTGGGGTCCCCGTCTGGGTGGAGGCCACCCTGTCCTCTGATGGGCCCCGTGTGAGGGGGGAAGCCGCCCTGTCCTCTGGGGTCACCGTCTGGGGGGAGGCCGCCCCGTCATCCAGGGACCCTGTATGAGGGATGAGGCCGCCCCATCCTCTGATGGACCCTGTGTAAGTTGGGAGGCCACCGTGTCCTCTGGGGGCCCTGTGTAAGGGGGGAGGCCGCCCAGTCCTCCAAAGAGCCCTGTCTGAAGGGGGAGGCCGCCCCGTTTTCCAGGGACCCTGTGTGAGGGGGCGAGGCTGCCCCATCCTTTGGGGGGCCGAGGCTGAAGGGGCCCCAGGCCTGGTGCCCGAGCTGCCCCAGCAGGAAGATGGCGCCGTGACCTGGTGATCTGCAGACCCTGGGTGCCTGCTGCTCGGCCGAGGGTAGGGCTAGCAGCCGAGGCCCTGGAGGAGGTGGGGGTGTGGCCTCGTGGAGGAAGGACACGCCTCCCTGCGGGGTCTTTGGGGAGTCGCTGGGCCCAGGAGCAGGACACTGTGTCCGGGACTGCTCGGCCGCAGTGCTGGGCGGTGGGTTCTCATGGGGTCAGTGTGACGCGGGCTGGGCCTGCCTGGGCACCGTGGGGTCAGTGACACAGGCTGGGTCTTCCTGGGGACTGTGGGGTCAGTGTGATGCGAGCTGGGCCTGCCTGGGGACTGTGGGGTCAGTGTGACACGGGCTGGGTCTTCCTGGGGACTGTGGGGTCAGTGTGATGCGAGCTGGGCCTGCCTGGGGACCGTGGGGTCAGTGTGACGTGAGCTGGGCCTGCCTGGGGACCGTGGGGTCAGTGTGACACGGGCTGGGCCTTCCTGGGCACCGTGGGGTCAGTGTGATGTGGGCTGGGCCTTCCTGGGGACCGTGGGGTCAGTGTGACGTGGGCTGGGCCTGCCTGGGCACCGTGGGGTCAGTGTGACACGGGCTGGGCCTGCCTGGGACCGTGGCTGGGCCTTCCTGGGCACCGTGGGTCTTGTGATGTGGGCTGGGCCTTCCTGGGGACCGTGGGGTCAGTGTGACGTGGGCTGGGCCTGCCTGGGCACCGTGGGGTCAGTGTGACACGGGCTGGGCCTGCCTGGGGATTGTGGGGTCAGTGTGACGTGGGCTGGGCCTCCTGGGGACCGTGAGGTGTTGCGAGGGGGGCTCCGCACTACGGAAGTTTCACAGCAGGTGCCTGCCTGGGGTCCCACACACCTGGACTCCCCGCTGCTGTTCCTGTGGGGCTCAGCAGCCTGGGCAGCTGTGGGCGCAGGGGTTTGGGAAAGAGGCAGAGGAGGGCACAGAGCCCGTTGCCACTGGCAGGGCAGCCCCAGGGAGCCCAGGAGCAGGAGAGCTGCCACTCGCTGTCCAGTTGGCCACTGTGCATCCCTTGCTGGCTGCTTCAGAGTCTCCCTCCTGGCCAGGGTCCTGGCAAGTGCTGGCACCTCTCTTCTCTGTTGTGGCTTCCATGCAATGCAGACAGGGAGAGCAGTGTCGCCCGGTGTGTTAGGGGCTGTCACCGTTGGCTGGTGAGGCCCCTGGAGGCCTGTGGATGTGTGTGTGGAGGTCAGGGCAGGGGCTCCCGCTGCAGCCTTGGGGTGGGAGTGGCCGTGGTCCAGGGACTCCCCTGACCGGCCTGAGGGCTGAGGTTTGGCCAGAGCAGCAGGTGGCTGCAGGAGCCATTGCCTCAGCTGTCCACTGGATGGAGGGTAGGCGAGTGTGGCCCAGGGAGGGGTGGAGGGGCTATGGAAGGTGGGACATGTGCACTGTGGGCTGTGAGACCAACCTGCCATGCAGAATCGGACCATGCAGAGCCGAGTCTTGCAGCACCAGGCTGTGCCTCCACCATTTGGACACTCTGCAATCCTGGAGGCTCACAGAGCCCACTCTGGGCAAGCTGCAGACCCTGGCGAGTGTGTGGGGTACAGAGTGCTGCTTGCAGGGCCCCAGAGCCTGCTGATGGGGAGCAGTGTGCACCCCAACTGCAGGCTGGGTCCAGCAGGGCAGCCATCTTGCTATGAGACCCAGCAGAGACCTGGCCCCCTCCGAGCTTCCCTGTGTCCACCTGTGAATGAGTGGCCCTGGGGTGGGTGTTTGGTGCAGTGGGTGAACCCACTGCTTAGCCCATCCCATGCCAACCACCTGGCTTGAGTCCTGGCCACTCAGCTTCTGACCCAGGCTCAGCACATCCAGGGATGCTGGACTCGATGGCTCCAGTCCTTGTCGCCACCCGGATGGAGCGCGGCCTGGGCAGCCGCGGCTGGAGGACATTTACAGACTGAAAGGAAAGTCTCTACTTTTTAATAAAAGATTTATTTCTACTGAAAAGGCAGATTTGCAGAGAAGGAGAGACAGGGAGAAAGAGCTTCCATCCTCTGGTTCTCCCATGCAGGGGCAGGGTCCCAAGGCCTTGGGCCGTCCACTGCTGCTTTCCCAGGGCCATAGCTGGAAGGTGGGTGGGAAGTCGGGCAGCCGGGATTCAAACGGATGCCCGTACGGGATGCTGGTGTTGGTGGGTGGAGGATTAGCCAGCTGAGCCACAGTGTTGGCCCTCCTTTTTCTACTCTTTAAGATGGAAACAAGCAGAGAGTGGAGTCCTGAACTGACTCAAGCTTTGTGTTAAGGTTTCCCTAGCTGGGTCCTCACGGCGGAGGTGGAGGTGGGATTGAGCCTGCAGGTGGAGGGAAGCGCTCCTGAGACACTCCTTGGAAAAGGGTGTCAGAAGCACATTGCCCCTACCGACACTTACCGAGGGACACGGGTGCGGACGGACACACTGAGGCACACGTGCGCATACAGATATGGGAACAAATCTCCCACAGGTGTGGGTAGCCACCAACACACACGAGGGCACACCCACGATGCGGACGCTCGCAGAACCCCAGCACGTGAACAGACGTGCAGACACGCAAGGCGCACACAGGGTGTGCGTGCTCACACACTGAGAGGCGTGGAGCCTGGAACCTCTGCAACAACCAGCCAGGAACGCGTCCTCCCGCACCTGCAGGGCCAGCCCTGGGCGCGTGGGGGCGGTGGCCGCAGGGGACCCCCGCGCACAGCACACACGGACAGCATGCATGCGAGAACAGCGTCGCATATTCAAATTTATTGCCATGAACACCCAGCCGCAGTCCCCTGTGGATTTGGGTACATTCACTTAAAACAAAACAAAACAAAAAAAAATGGTTTCCCATAAAAGGATTTTCGGTCATCACCTCATCTTTAATGCATTTATATACAAAACCCCGTTTGAAGCTACTTGCTGTACATGAGCACGCAGAGCACGGGAAACAGGAAGCCCTGGGCACTTGTGGCTCTGTCGCGGTGCCCGGGTCGCGGTGCCAGCGTCACGCCAGGGCGGCTGTCCCGCTCGGACCCGCCCGAGACGCGCCTTGGTCCGTGTCTCCCGTGGCTCCAGGGATTGTAGAGGGTTGGTTAGTGCAGTGGCCGCCCGTTTAGCACTCGTATAGATCATGAAGGAGACTAACGGTACAAGCTTTAAAAATGCTCATTTTCTGACAGTGGCGTGGCCGTGAGTAAAAATAGAGATAAATGTTACCAAAATAGAAGCCTTTATTCATAAAAATCTTTGGTAATAACGGCATCTTAAGTTCCTCTCAATGATATTTGCTTAGCTAAGATAATAAACTTCCACCTTTGAACTACAAAAACAAAAAAAAAAGAGGAGCCCTCAAATCCACCACAGAATTGATTTCCTATATTAAAAAAAGGCAATAAATACTCCAAAGCTCCCAGTGTGCCCCAAAGGCCAGAGGCGTTCCTTGCACTCTGAAGCCATCGGCTTCCGGAATGTTCCCAAGGCCACAGTCAGCCCCACGGCTCGGGGGTGCAGGGAGACGGGTGGGCAGGCCTCGAGGGGGCTGGCTACCCGCTCAGCCAGGGGCGCCCGCACCCACCGGGGGCTCAGGAAATCAGACGTGGCCTCCGGCTGCCCAGAGTGGCCCGGCTTCCGCCGGCAGGGGCAGCCACTTGTGTCGCCCGGCTTAGTCCTCGCTCTGCACTCCCCGCGGCCTGGCACCTGGGGGCACCGCCCTGCAGGGGACTCGCGTGGGGGGCTTGGGAAGACTTTGCTGGAACCGTCTCCGTGAATGCAGGCGCCACTGCCCCCAGACCGGCTGGCATTTTGGGACATCTTCAATACTAGAGAGAAAAAAGAAACCTCCCTGCAAGATGGCTTTGTGCAAAAACAAGGAGAAATAAACGGGAAAGAGAGGAAGGCGGCCCTACGGGAGCGGCCGTCCGGCCTACAGGGCGCTGCCGTAGTGGCCCGGGCCGCCGTCCTGGCACGCCTTGGGGCTGTGCTTGCTGCAGGGCCCGTCCCTCCTGGACTCCTCCATCCACGTGTCCAGCAGCTGCTGCTTGCCCTGCTCCTCCCGCATGTACAGTTCCACCATGAGCGCCTTCTCCTTGTGGATCTGCTGGCTGATGTCCTTGGGGATGTCCGGGATCACCCAGTCCACGAAGTCGCTCATGAACATGACCAGGTTCTGGGGAAGGGGAGAGGTGTCACCCACCGGCTGGGAAGGTCTGGGCGACGCGCCCACCTGGCTCACCAGCCCGCCCTGCCCCCACTCCGCAGCAGTCTCTGGGTTTCTGTCCGCCTGCCGTTGCTCGACCACCCTGAAATCCCCCAGCTCGTCCCAACCTCCCTGCTGGGTGGAGCGTCATCCCATCATTGCCTGGCCTCGTGACCTCAGTCATACCCTTTGACCTCTCGGGGCCTCAGCTTCCCAGTGTTAGCTATACCAGGAACTACCCAGAAGGCGTTCTGCAAATGTGCTTTTTGAAAACGACTTATTTATTTGAAAGGGGGAGGGGTGGTAAGGCGGAGAGGGACTTCCCTCCTGCTGGTTCACTCCGTAGGTGCCCACATTAGCTGAGGCTCGGCCAGGCTGTGCCCAGGGGCCTGGACCCAGGGCCTCCGACCATCGCCTACTGACTCCCAGGCCATTAGCAGGGAGCTGGGTGGCACGCAGGCACCCCTGGGACGGTGTAGCCTGCTGCAGCCCAGCACCCATGTCTGTGTCGATCCTTCCAATTCCCTGACCCCGGGGAATGGGGAGATACGGGGATGGCGAGTCCCTTGGCCAGGAGCCGGAACACGAGACAGCCGGGACCCCATCAGCAATTATGGTTTCCCAGAACGGGCCTCCCAAGTGGGAACAGGGGCCCTGTTGGGGTGTGTGATGTCTGAGCCACCTCCCTGGCTCCCCTGTGGGGTCGCAGGAAGTCCCACTCCTCAGCAGGACAGAAGCGACACGGGGAGGAGTCGCCTAAGTCTCACTGTTGCTGACCTGCCCAGTGAGTGACCGTTACCACCCGTGCAGAGCAGCCTGCTGTCCCTCCGTCCCCCTGGCTGCTCAGCTCACCACTGCCGGGCTCTGCCCGCCGACTGGGCACACTCTGGGGTAACCGTGGGTCAACGGAGGCCAGTCCTGACCGAGGCCCCTGCGGCCTGTGGCTGACCCTGGACACCCGTCGCAGGGATGAGCACGCGGGGCCAGCAGAGGACAAGAGGACAGCCAGTGTTCTCAGGTCCTGCTTGCCACGAACGTGCACCTGTAAGGCAGCAGGTGCTGGCCCGTCCACTCGGGTCCCTGCACGTACACGGAAGACCTGGGTCAAGTCCCAGACTCCCAGCTCTGGCCTGGCCCCACCCTGCCTGCCGCGGGTTTCTGGAGTGAACCAGCAGAGAGATCTCGCTTGTGCCTCGAATATCAATGTTCAATGGCATCGATTAGATACTAAACTCGCTTGCCCTGAAGGAAGCCGGCTCCTGAGTTCCCACGCTCGCTGGCACCCGCGTCGGACTTGCCTCCCCTGCCCTTGGTGTCCCAGAGCAAGTCCACCGGTTCCTGGTTGGGCCCCCCCTTGGCACCTCACCTGGAAGACAATGACAAAAGCCAGGCGAGCTGCGAGGACGGCCCAGAAATCCTTGGAAATGTCGTACTTGTGTTCCGACCATGGGGGCTCGCGGTAGTCCTTGTACCTGCAAAGAGACAGCAGGGAGTGGGGGCACAGCTCCCGCCCGCCTTGGGCGAGACCAGTGCCACCAGCACCAGGTGCTCCAGGTAGCAGAGTTGGCCAGATAGGTGGTCACACCAAGGGGTGCCCTGATGTGGGCTGGATGGCCCGGCCCAGCCTGCTCACACTTCCGGCAGTTCCAGGGGGTGGGAACTGGGCAGGACCCACCCTGGGCTGCACAGACCCCGTGGGACGGCCTGCAAAACCCAGAGAGCCGGGGGTACTGCTGCCCATGCCCACCCGTGCCTGCCCCGTCCCCTCCCTTCCTCCAGCCACTTCATCATCACCTCCTAAGCCCTCAGCCAGATCCACGTGCCCACTGGGTGTGACCAGCTCACAAGCGGCCGACACACCTCCTGCCCAGAAGCCCAGAGCGCCTTGGAGTGGACCCGCCCACCTGGGGTCCCTCCCATGCTCCCGACTACCAGGAATGCCACTCGGCCAGGCAGCGCTGGCATTGGAGGTCCTGGCACTCACCTGCGAGTGTGTCTGGCTGAGCGCTAAGAGGTCAGATGTGGGGTAAGGCCGGGCGAGGAGGCTCTAGGGACCCAGTCCTGACCCATGGCCCAGGTGCACACACCCCACAGGGGCTGGCACCTTGCTGTGTGTCCCTGGGCGACCGCACGACCCCTCTGGACCTCTGTGTGGCATCCCTCCCCTCCCTTCCTTCCTCGTGTTGCCAGCATTCACTGAGCCCTTCCTATGAGCCACACGATGGGTGGAGATTGGGGAGCGCGCCCCTCGCCCCCTGGAGGCTTGGAGGAATCTACCTGCAGCCCAGGAGAGCCTGTCCAGGGCTAAGCTGCCTGGCCCCCAGGCAGAGCCAGGCCGGCACTGTGCGTCTGCGCCGTGCGAATGGCAGCAAGCACCTGTGTTCTCCCGGTGGCTGAAGCCCCACACCTGTGCCTCCCTGGCCTCCCCCCGCTCTCAGGACCCGCTGGCTGGGCATCCTGGAGAATGTGTTTGGGTCATCTGGAAGAGCCCGGTGGGAGCCGGGTTCTCAGGCCACCTGTCACAGACCTTCTCTCTCCCCTCCTTCTGTCCCCGAGGGTGGGAGGCCTGTCTGATGTACGTGGCAGTGACAGCTCTGCGAAGGCCGCCTCTGTCCCGCCCCACCCCGGGCCGGCTGTGTGCTGCTGTTCTGGGAGGTGCTTGGGCAGTGCGTGGCTGCCGTGGGCAGGGGGCTCACGAGCCCTGCAGTGCAAGGTCACGGCCATGGGATGGTTGCGAAGGCCTGGCTGGAACCCCAGCTTGGGGACCAGTACTGCGGCACAGCCGGCTAAGTGGCCATCTTCAACACTGTACTTTACAGGCTGCTCTGCCTCCAGTCCAGCTTCCTGCTGAAGCTCCTGGGAAGGCAGCCAGGGACGGCCCAAGGACTCAGGCCCCTGTTACCCAGTGCGAGGCCTGCGTGGAGCTCCTGGCTTTGGCTGGCTCCAACCCTGACCATTGTGGCTCCTGGAACAGTGAACTAGGGGATGGAGATCGTCTCTCTCCCTGCCACAAACCAAACTCCAGCCTAGGAAGGGGTGCGGGGAGACGCACAGTGATGTCCCCACAGGCTCCCCCTCCCCACCCAGGGCCTGGGAACCAGCAATTGGGCTTGTTGCTGCCAGGTGTGGCTGGCCCCTTCCCTGTGGGTATGCATAAGGGTGATCTTTCAGTAGAATGACCAATTGTTCTGGTTCTTTCCAGACCTTAGTCACTCTTCTAAAACTCAGCACTGGGTAAATACACGAAGCCCTTGATCAACTGTGACAGCTGGAGAGGGCAGGCCGATGGGCAGGTGCAGTGGCGCTCTGCCCCGGGACGGCAGCAACCGCTCCCCGCCAGCTCCCTTGTCACCTGCCAGCCCCTCCTCACCCCCAACTCCCCTTTGCACCCTGAACACTCCAGGACAAGCGTGGCCGACAGGACAGCACCTAGCTGGGACCCTCCCTTTCGCCCGGCTTGCCGGCACGTACTATGTCTGTGACCCTGTGCCCTGCACTGAGGCCCCCGGATGGGCAGCAGGGACCGTGTTGGCCACTCCCAAGTGTCCACACTTTGCGCAGGCCAGGAAGGTCAAGGTCAGCCCCAGGTTCTGGCCCTCGCTCCTTGCCCAGGCAGAGTCCTGTGGCTCCCGGCTGGGCAGGGCAGCTGTGATTGTGGCCATGGAGATGACCATGAGTGAGAGTGGCTGCTGGCATCCCACAGGCCCGGGGCCTCAGATGCCTGCTGCCTCTGTCTGTCCAGCTGCATTTTTTCCAGAGGATTCTCCCAACTCTCTCTGTTCGCATCAGCAGCCCTCGGCCCAGGCCTGGCCAACGCACAGCCCCCGGCCTCTGGCACCAACATCTGGCATAACTCGGGAGCAAAGACGTCCGTGGGCAAGAGGTGTCTTCCCTCTAGGCTGAGGGGCAGGACCGCTGGGAGACGCTTTCTGCCCGCTGGACATGGAGAGAAGTGACGCCGAGGGGCTGGGCTGGAGCAGGACCTGCTGGCTTCTGCTAGAGCACAGGCAGGTCGAGCCATGCCTGAAGCACCTGACACCCAGCGGCTGCCTGACGGGGGAGTGGGTAGAATTAGCGGCCCCCTCCTCTGCCGCCACCACAGCTGCCTAGCTCGGTGTGAGTCGTGCCTCTGGGTCCCCGGCTCAGAGCAGGGGAGCCGGGGCCGTACCTGCAGATTTGCACCTCGTAGCCCAGGTCCAGGGGGTCGTTGGGGGCGGTGCCATTCTGGAAGTCACTGACGTTGAAGGATGACAGCGTGTGGTTGATGAAGCCGTGCATGGTCCCGTTCTGACTGTACATGTACAGGTACACGAGGCGTGGGATGAAGTCGGACGTAAACGAGATCACGAAGGCCTGTGGGCAGACCACGCACAGGCCGGTGGACACGCGGTGCGGCGTGGCTCGGGGCCTCGGCACGCTGAGAGGGAGCCCCGGGGAGAGGCCCAGATGCCAGGACGGGGTGTCTGCTGGCTGCCTGGGGCCAGCCCCCTCGCCTCGCCGTGCGTGCCTGGTTCCCTCAGACTGGCCAAAGCAGAGGGCACGACTGGGCCATCTCTGAGGGCACACAGTGGGCACCTGACACCCAGCGGCTGCCCCTTACGTGGCTGTGTGGCCACGGTGACTTTCTGACCTCTCTGTGCCTGGGATGGATGGAGACAACCCAGGCTCTGCATGGAGCAGCCCAGTAGGGAGGAGGGCCGGGCCCAGCTCCTCCTCCCAGGGCCCCGCCCACTCGTGGCTCCTCCTCCAGGGCCCCGCCCACCCGTCACTCACATTGATGATGACGGCAAGCTTCCCGACGCCCCGGAGGATGTTGTACCAGATCCCTGTGGGGAGAAGCGAGCACAGCTGTAAGGGTCCCCCTGTGAGCCAACGGGAGTGTGGAGACCGCTGTCCCCCAGGCCCCGTGCAGGCTGCCTGCCACCCGTGGGCATCGGCCGCCTTGTCCCCATCTCCCAGGTCCTGTGCAGGCTGCCTGCCACCCGTGGGCACGGGCCGCCTTGTCCCCAGCCCCCAGGCCCCGTGCAGGCTGCCTGCCACCCGTGGGCATCGGCCGCCTTGTCCCCAGCCCCCAGGCCCCGTGCAGGCTGCCTGCCACCCGTGGGCATCGGCCGCCTTGTCCCCAGCCCCCAGGCCCCGTGCAGGCTGCCTGCCACCCGTGGGCACGGGCCGCCTTGTCCCCAGCCCCCAGGCCCCGTGCAGGCTGCCTGCCACCCGTGGGCACGGGCCGCCTTGTCCCCAGCCCCCAGGCCCCGTGCAGGCTGCCTGCCACCCGTGGGCACGGGCCGCCTTGTCCCCAGCCCCAGGCCCGTGCAGGCTGCCTGCCACCCGTGGGCACGGGCCGCCTTGTCCCCAGCCCCCAGGCCCCGTGCAGGCTGCCTGCCACCCGTGGGCATCGGCCGCCTTGTCCCCAGCCCCCAGGCCCCGTGCAGGCTGCCTGCCACCCGTGGGCACGGGCCGCCTTGTCCCCAGCCCCCAGGCCCCGTGCAGGCTGCCTGCCACCCGTGGGCACGGGCCGCCTTGTCCCCAGCCCCCAGGCCCCGTGCAGGCTGCCTGCCACCCGTGGGCACGGGCCGCCTTGTCCCCAGCCCCCAGGCCCCGTGCAGGCTGCCTGCCACCCGTGGGCACGGGCCGCCTTGTCCCCAGCCCCCAGGCCCGTGCAGGCTGCCTGCCACCCGTGGGCATCGGCCGCCTTGTCCCCAGCCCCCAGGCCCTGTGCAGGCTGCCTGCCACCCGTGGGCACGGGCTGCCTTGTCCCCAGCCCCCAGGCCCCGTGCAGGCTGCCTGCCACCCGTGGGCACAGGCCCGCTATGCACCCTAAGCAGGCTTCTTGACCACCAACCTGTCCCTGCAGGCCTGGCCACGTCTCCTTACCCAGAGCCGAGTCTGAGATGAGCAAGACCTGGGTGTCCCGATGGACAAGCTGGGCGGTGAGCCCAATGCTGCGTCAGTGGTCAGGGGTCAGAAATGGCTGCTTCGGGCAACCCCCACAGCCATCTCCCACTCTGCCTTCTCTGTCGGTATCCCACACGGAGAGCCCCGTGGGGATCCCAGGCCCCACGGTGCAGCCTGGCTGCTCAATGACTGCGTGTCCCTGGGTTGCTGCTACTCCAAAACGAGGGTGATGAGGTTTGGGGGTGTGCCACATGGGTGCCCTGCACACAGCACTGTGCATGGCAGCCCCATCCCACATTCCAGACTCCTGTTGCCGGCTGCTGGCCAGCATGGCCGCCAACCAGCTGACCGCAGCCTCAGCCCCCTGTCTAGAGAAATATTCATCCTGGGGCCAATGCGATGGCTCAACAAGCTAGTCCTCTATCAGCAGTGCCGGCATCCCATGCGGCACTGGTTCTAGTCCTGGCGATTCCATTTCCTGTTCAGCTCCCTGTTTATGACCTGGGAAAGCAGCAGAGGAGGGAAGATGGCCCAAGGCCTTGGGCTTCTGTACCTGCGTGGAAGTCCAGGAAGAGGCTCCTGGCTCTGGATTGCACACACTCTGGGCGTGCCAGGGGCCCACCACCTTTGTTCCTGCTTCCTGAAGGAGTGTTTCTAACCACCCACTTCCAAGGACAGGATGGGAGGTTTCTGGGCAGATCTGAAGTCCACGGGACGAGGGAGCAGTGGTCAGGGTGCCCTCCTCTCTACTGGGCTGCACACCGTGGCACCTGCTGGCCAAAGTGTGGCAGGGCAGGCCCTGAAGCTGAGAGTGGGTGCTTGGGCCTCAGGAGCTGGGAACTCACCACCGTGACCTCAGGCTGCAGCTGCTCCTCTGAGGCCACGATAGTGGCACCAAGGGTCCTGTGCCATGGCCCATCTCCCTCTCGCCACCCAGGTAGGCCCAGGAGGGCACAGGTACCAGGATGCATTGCAGTCCTGTCTGTTCGGGCACCTGCCCAGGGGCCCTGCCCTGCACGCATCAGGGGAGGAACACAAAAGCCTCTTGAGCACAAGGTCATGGTGAAGGGGCCCCACGCCCAGCCATGTGGAAGAGCAAGGCCGGATGCAGCCTTCTCCGCCAGGCCAGCAGGAAGCCAGAAATCAGCGGCTGATTCAGGACAACCACGCAAGACTCGGGGGCCATGGGCAGCTGGACACACCCTTGAGGTGCCCATGGAAGCCCCTCTGGCAGCAGGGGCTAGGGCAGCTAGGTGGCCATGGCACCGGCCCCTGCTGTCCCTGGTGGGGCTCCAGGTTTCCAGCTGCCACTGCGTGGGGACAGTCAACAACTCCCGCAGCTGTGGACACCAAAACAAACAGCGGCTGTGGGCTGGGCGGGGCTGCGGGGCTTGGGAGAATGGGCCCTTTGTGGAGTGGGAAGTGTGCTGGGAGGGCTGCTGAGGCCAGGCCTGTCCACTGCCCGGCCGTCTCAGGGGTGCGGCATGCCTACGATGTCTGCTGGCAGCTGCTCCACTCTCGGGGATCTCAGCCTCTCCAGTGACGGGGGCCTTGGTCTGCCGAGCTGCAGGATGGGGCTGGAGGCTTCTCTGGGCAGTACCTGGATGACCCACGAGGCTGAAGCCCTGGGGACACTGCTCAGGCTGGACGCAGCATCTGGGCCTCCGAGCAGGGCGTGGGACCAGGACCCTGGAGGGCGACTTGGTCTTGCTCCTGGCAGCGGCTGTGTGAGTGACAGGGCCCCTCAAAGGGCACCTGGAAGATGCCCTGGAGAAAAACTCGGCCAGGATTTTTAGCGCCTGAAAGAAGTGCTGATTTCCTTGTTTCCACAAGCCTCCTGGAGTCCCCATGTGCACGGCCAGCCCCGGCCCTGCAGGCCCCCAGCCTGCCTCCGCTGAGCCGCCTTCAACACGGCACGCACAGCACTCAACCTCCCAGCAAGGATGGGGTCTCTGAAGCCACACCCCAACAAACAGGCCTCACGAGAGGCAGGGAAGGCGGGGGTGGGGCGCCAACGGTGACTTTGGGCAGGCAGCAGTCCTCGGACATTTGGCAGCAAAACCTCATGGGACATCGGGACAGAGTGTGTCAGCACAAGCCCTGGAGCCCAGGAAAGAGGGGGCGGAGCCAAGTGCCCAGCCCAGGGGAGATCTCGGACAAGAGGGCTCAGGTTCAGCTGCACTGTGTCTGACCCACAGAGACCACGCACTGCACTGTGTCTGACCCACAGAGACCACGCACTGCACTGTGTCTGACCCACAGAGACCACGCACTGCACTGTGTCTGACCTGCACAGACCACGCACTGCACTGTGTCTGACCCACAGAGACCACGCACTGCACTGTGTCTGACCTGAGCAGACCACGCACTGCACTGTGTCTGACCCACAGAGACCACGCACTGCACTGTGTCTGACCCACAGAGACCACGCACTGCACTGTGTCTGACCCGCACAGACCACGCACTGCACTGTGTCTGACCTGAGCAGACCACGCACTGCACTGTGTCTGACCTGCACAGACCACGCACTGCACTGTGTCTGACATACACAGACCACGCACTGCACTGTGTCTGACATACACAGACCACGCACTGCACTGTGTCTGACCCACAGAGACCACGCACTGCACTGTGTCTGACCTGAGCAGACCACGCACTGCACTGTGTCTGACCTGAGCAGACCACGCACTGCACTGTGTCTGACCCGCAGAGACCACGCACTGCACTGTGTCTGACCTGAGCAGACCACGCACTGCACTGTGTCTGACCTGCACAGACCACGCACTGCTCTGTGTCTCACTTGTGGCGATGGAGCTGTAATGGACTTGGCCATCACGAGTGGGCATGGCCATCACTAGCAGTGGTAGCCATCACTGGCATATGGAGGTGTTGCCACTAGAGGCCGCTGTGGCCCAAGGAGCTCCCAGGCCAGAATTGCTAAACCCAAGGAGAGGTTTGCCAACCAGGATGACCCAGGTGCCCTAGACTGGAGCGGCAACTGGAGGGGCTGGTGCAGCCCCCACATTGCAAGATCAAGCCCACCCCAGCACTCGGATCAAAGGACAGAAGCTGCTCCCTGTGAAATTCTGTCTTCTGCTGGCTCCGAGGATGGGTACAGAGGTGCCGTTTTTAGCTACAGCTGTGTGGAATGTGAGACAAAGTGGCCGCGTGTCCTTGTCACCCTGGACACCTGGTCCCTGTTTGCTGAGAACCGGCTCTCACTGGTCTCCCATGTTCTTGTCCCTTACCGGCCCAGGACAGAGGCCCACAACCCCACAGCACACCTACCCCATTAGCACCTGCTACAAAGTTCCTTCCGTACCACCCCTTCCCACAGAGCAGGTGCCTGGGGGGCAGGGGCTGACCAAGTTCATGGAGCAAGCGCCCCTGGAGGTCAGGGGTCAGGGGTCAGGGCAGACTGAGTCCTGGATTTGAGCTTGACCTCTATCGGCATGCCTGCCCATCCTTCTACAAAGGGGGCTCCTCCTCCCGGTCCTGTCGAGTGACGCTCACTGGTCGCCTGACGAGGGATGCACTTGCTGGCCAGCCCCAGTTCCCTCCTCACTCTGCGCCCTGGGGGCGGCAGCCACCTGGCCCGCCCATCGCTCACCGATGTCCTTGGCCCTGACCGCCACGGGCCTGCGGAGCTCAGTGACGAACTTCTTGGCGTCCAGGCGGATCTCGATGATGTTGTTGAGCAGTGCGAAGAGCGGGGCCAGGGGAAAGGACGCCACGAACAAAGTGACAAAGCCAAACTGGATGACTGCGGGGAGAGCGGGGTCGCGGGTCAGCAGCAGGCCAGACGGAACCCTGGGCCCACCTGCAGCTGCCGGCCCCCTGAGTGCCAGGTGAGCCCTCCTCTTGAGAGCTGATGCCACACATCGTCAAGTCTGCGGCTTGCCCCTCTACAGGGCTTCCTGTGGGCCAGCTGGGAGACCCCCGGTCCCGGGGTATACTGCAGCCAGCGGGCGAAGCCAGCTCGGGTTCACTCCTGGCAGTGCCCGGCTGAGCAGTGGATGGGGGTAGCCGTGATTCAGCGGATGGTGGAGACCTCAGCTTGCGTTTCATCCCAGTGAGAGCAGAACAGAGCAGGCGCAGGGCCCAAGGCCCTCCTCTTCCACGCGCAGGCAGGGGCTGGACGCCCGACAGCCTGGACAGAGCTCAGGGCCCACGGACGGAAATGCCCGAGACCACGTGGAGCAGAGCTGGGTCCACTCTCCCAGGCCCATCGGCCCCACGCGTGCCCAGCTCCAACCTCACGGAGACCAGGCCAGGGCTTGGGACGCTGGATGGAGGCCCCCCTGTGGCGGCTGCTGTCCACCTGGGCTGTTCCGGGGCGGGGCTGCCGGGAAGCCCCTCCTCCCTCCCACGCGCGCCCGAGCCCCCACGTACTCATCTCCATGTACTCGGGCGTGAGGCCGGCGAAGGGCTCCAGGTTGTAATCGACCTCGTAACGCTGCTTCTTCTTCACGCCCTCCTCGGGGGCCGGGGGCCTCTGCCGCCTCAGCTTGAGGTAGCGGATGAGTTTCTTCATTTTCCTGGAAGACGCACGAGGTCCGGGGGTGAGGCTGGCGGCGAGGCCAGCGCCCCAGGCCGGGTTTCTGGCATTCCGCGCTCTGTCCGACAGGCAGGGCCCAGGCGTGAAGGCAGCCCTGCTGCGGAGGCCAGCAGGTGCAGGAGGGCCAAGGGAGGGTCTGAGGGTCTGAGGCCCTGCCCACGTGGGTGCTTGGGGACACGAGACCAGCAAGTCCCTGACCCCAGGGTGCTGCTGCCTCTAGGGAGCAGGCATGGGACCTGGATATCCAAAGGGGGAACCCCCAAATTCCACCTGCCGATGGCGAGGTTCGGTTTGCTAATCTGCATCTTCAGGTAGCTTGGGGTAGGGGGTCTCCCCAGCTTCATCCTAGTCCCTCGTCTATAGTGGGTGGCCTCCCCCCCCCCATGCTCGCCACCTCCCTGTTCCCGGGGCGCCCACTCACCCACATGCAGACCATCCCAGGAATACCCCAGGCCTTGCCCACCCCCTCCCTGGCCCCAGCTCCGTAGGTGCGCCCCTCCTTGCCCAGCCCTCCCAGGCCCCGGCCCCGGCCCCGCAGGTGCACCCCTCCTTGCCCAGCCCTCCCTGGCCCCGGCCTCGCAGGTGCACCCCTCCTTGCCCAGCCCTCCCTGGCCCCGGCCCCGCAGGTGCACCCCTCCTTGCCCAGCCCTCCCTGGCCCTGGCCCCGCAGGTGCACCCCTCCTTGCCCAGCCCTCCCCGGCCCCGCAGGTGCACCCCTCCTTGCCCAGCCCTCCCTGGCACCGCAGGTGAACCCCTCCTTGCCCAGCCCTCCCTGGCCCCGGCCCCGCAGGTGCACCCCTCCTTGCCCAGCCCTCCCTGGCCCCGGCCCCGCAGGTGCACCCCTCCTTGCCCAGCCCTCCCCGGCCCCGCAGGTGCACCCCTCCTTGCCCAGCCCTCCCTGGCACCGCAGGTGAACCCCTCCTTGCCCAGCCCTCCCTGGCCCCGGCCCCGCAGGTGCACCCCTCCTTGCCCTGCCCTCCCTGGCCCCAGCCCCGCAGGTGCACTCACGGAATGCCAATCTCGAACAAGTTGTTCTGAATGAGCTGCTTGCCAAGCATGATGATACTGAGCTGAATGCATAACTCCATCAGGCAGCCCCCTGGGGCGCACTGCGGGCAGAGGGCAGAGTCAGAATCGCCAGGCCCCAGCCTGGCCCCCGGCCCCTGGCACCGGCGCCTCCCTACCTGAGCCCCGGCCCCTGGCACCAGCGCCTTCCTGCCTGGCTCCCGGCCCCAGACGCTGGCGCCTCCCTAGCCAACGGGGCCCTGGGCCGGCACCTCCCTGCCAAAGGGTCCCTCAGCCACAACAGCTGTTTGAGTCAGGCAAGGTTGTCTTGGAGCAAGGCGCCTGAGCTAATGACTGGCACCTTTGGCAGAAAGGAGCACCCACAGGTGCAGAGGGAGTAGCAGAGGCTGGCAGGCACAGAAAGAAGCACCGAGCTTTCCACAGCCACAGGGACAGGCCCTGCGGACAGCTCAGCTTGGGACCGCTGGCCTCCGCCTGAACAAACACTTGCCATTTCGGTTTATTTTCTTAAGGATTTATTTTAATATAAAGAGCTGCCATGGCTGGAGCAGGAACCAGGAACTCTCACACAGCTGGCAGGGCCCTGAGGACCCCAGCCGCCGCCTGCTGCCTTTGCAGGCGTGTTAGCGGGAGCTGGAGCGGGGTGGAGCTGCCGGCCCCATCTCCCGGTGGTGGTCACAGCTGGAGCAGGAATCAGGGTTCCAAGGACTGTGTCGGGGGGAGACGGGCACTCTGCCAGGGAGTGGGCATGCTGGGCTGCACGGCCCCGGCTGCCTGTCCACAGGCTGTGGCCCTGGCAGGTAGCCCCATGACAAGGCTTCCCGTTTCAAGGCCTTCAATGCCCAGCTCTCCGTGGGTGTGAGCCATCTTGGGCCAGGCATGGGGCAGGCAGGGGACAGCTCAGCACTTTTCCAGGCAAGCAGTTTAGCTCGTCTGAAGCCCAAGAAACTCGAGAAGCTGTGTGGTGGCCGCTCCCCAAGACTTCACGGAAAATGGATGAAACGATACATGCATTTCAGTAGAAAAAAAATTTAAATATAGCTGCAGTATTTTCATAACATGCTTTCTTCATTTTTCCATGAACATTTTTTTTTTTAACTTGAGGGGTAGAGAAACCCAGTGTCAGAGAGAGGCAGAGTTGTTCTGGGAGCGAGTGGGGGTGGCACTCACCCGCCAGCTTCCTCCCCACATGTCTGCGGCAGCCGGGGCTGGGTCCCGGTCAAAGCTGGGTCTCCCTCGCGGGTGGCAATGGCCCGATGACTCCAGCCATCGAGCCATTGCTGCTCCCAGGCCCTCTGCCGCCAGGAAGCGGCGAGTGGGAGCTGAGCCAGAAGCTGAGGCTTGGGAGTCTTAACCGCTCAGCTAAGCGCGGGGCCCCGCCGTGGGTTTTGCGTACATTTTCCTATTACAGTTACCAGTGCATCTGCCTGCGAGAGCCCTCATTTCCTAAACCGCAGGCAACGCCCTGGGCTGCACTCGCTCTGCATGGCATTCCAGCAGCTCTGGCGGGGCGGCCGCCTCCGTGTTGCCCAGGCACGTGGCCCCCCCCCCCATGTCATGCCTGGGGTCTGTGGACAGAGCCCACGCCTGGATGGTTAGATCTGGGTGGCACTTGGGACGGCTGGATCGCCCTGTCCCTGATGTCCACTGCGGCACACAGGAAAACCTTTCACCTTATTTTCTCAACAGTTGAAGGGAAGCCCGAGACCCAGACCACGGGCGGGTCCCCAAGAGCCTGGCCACTGGGCACAGGGAGGCACAGAGCAGGGCAGGGTGGGGCCTGGACTCGGCGGGTGCATGAGCCAGCTCCTCGGCGCTGGGAGCCAGAGAGGCTGCGGCTGCTCCCTCGGGGCCTCCTCTTGCCCAGGGCGAGGGTTCCCGGCAGCACTTGCCTTCCCTAACTCGGACGGAGCGAGCCAGGTCAGAGACCCGGGGGGACGGGGGGACGCACGGAGCTGCCAGAGAGACAGACGCGGCCTCCCTCGGCTCCCTGCACGTGGCACACAGGTGAGACAGACGCGGCCTCCCTCGGCTCCCTGCACGTGACACACAGGTGACTCTTACCTCTTCCATACGGAAGGAACGGAAGATGTACACATAGTCGCCCGGGCGCCCCACAAACCTGCAGCGATGGGGGAGATGGTCAGAGAGGGCTCAGGAGGCGCCCCCTGGGCAGAGATGTCCCTGCTTCCCCACAGCCAGACTTCGTGCCTGCACCAGCTGCCCCCTGCCCCATCCTCACTGCTCAACGATGACCACAGTGGGCCCTACGGGTGGCAGGCTCATGGGGGAGGTGGGGAAACTGGGCAAGTAGCGGGCCCAAGGCCGGGATGGGGGCTCTGCTAGCCACTGGAGTGGGATGTGTGTGCCAACTGGCAGCCCTAGGCTCCTTGCACGGGCCGTCCTGGCCCTGTACGGGGGTTGCCTCTCAGCCTCCCAGATCCTGCCCGGAGCTGTGGATGCCCTGGGGATGCTGGCCCCTGCCTGGAGCATGTGTGGACAGAAGGGCCCTTGGTGGGGTGGGGGCTGTTCCCAGACCAAAGCTGCCAGCCTCTGTGAGAAGGGTGGGCTTGTGGCAGGCTGGGGAAGGCCCCTGCACAGGCTGGGCTCCAGGACAGAGTGGTTCATCCTACTGTGAACTTAGAGCCACGGCCCTGCTGGCCAACCGCTGCACCGCTCATAGCTGCCTAGCCAGGGACTGCCCTCGCCGGACGTCAGCGGGGCAGACTGGGGTCCCTGGTGTCGGGGGACCTGCTGCTGTTGGGGGTCCCTGCCATTTGGGGTGCCTGTAGCCCAGGGTCCCCAGCAGGAGTCAGGTTCCCCCAACCTCCACCCTGCCTTGGCAGCTGGGCGAGTCCTGGTGCCAGCTCTGCCCTAGGCTTCAGGAGATGGGGCAGGGCAGGCCGTGGGGAGCCTCCCACCGGGCCAGGGTCGGGTGAGGGAATTCTTACCGGCCTTTGAAGAAAGCCACGTAAAAGATGGGGGTGTAGGAGTTGACAAACTTCAAGAGAAAAGCCTTGAAGATGAGCCTCTCCTCGAAGCTCTTCTCCGTCTTCGGGACTTCTGGAGGGAAGCAGCCAGTGAGGTCGGGAGCCAGGGTCCCCCGGGAGCACCCCAGCCGGTGCCCGCCGCCCCCACACGCTCACGGGGCAGGTGAGCCAGGGCCCGGCGCGGCACCCGCTCACGGCGCGGCACCCGCTCACGGCGCGGCACCCGCTCACGGCGCGGCACCGGCACACGGCGCGGCACCGGCACATGGCGCGGCACCAGCTCACGGCGCGGCACCGGCACACGGCGTGGCACCAGCTCACGGCGCGGCACTGGCACACGGCGTGGCACCCGCTCACGGCGCGGCACCAGCTCACGGCGCGGCACCGGCACACGGCGTGGCACCAGCTCACGGCGCGGCACTGGCACACGGCGCGGCACCCACTCACGGCGCGGCACCCGCTCACGGCGCGGCACCGGCTCACGGCGTGGCACCCACTCACGGACCGGCCGAGGCGCTCACCGATCTTGGTGAGCCACCTGGCTATGCAGCCGTACAGCTCGTCCAGCAAGATGATGACCACCAGGTTGATGATGACCGCCGTGGCCGTCACGGTGACCCGGATGTTGGAGCGCACGGACGGGGACGAGTTCATGGCCAGGGCGGCGGCTGTCGAGATCCTGTAGATGATGACCCCGAGGACGATGGCAAAGGTGACCGCTATCTGCAAGGGTGGAGGTCGCGCTGGGCTGGGAGTCTGTCCAGCACCGGCCCCTGGCCTCCCGGGCATCGCTGCAGCAGCCACCACGAAGGCCGGTGCCCACCAAGCCCCTCCTCTGGCCCCACCCAGAGCATCCCATCGACTCAGGCTGTCAGTTGCCTGGGAGACAACTTTGTTGTGTCCCTGTGTCTGTCCCTTTTAACCCGACTCAACTGGAAGTCCAGGTCCTTGTCCTGCTCTGTCCAGAGGCATGGACACCCAAACCCAGAGCTTGCTGAGGGACCTGGGATGTGTGGGGGCAGTGCAGGGAAGGCTCTGTGTGGAATGCAGCTGCCACCCATGGCTCTGGGCCCCTGGGTCCCAGGCCATCCACATGCCAGCTCCCAGGCACATGCTGGTCCCTCTCCTGTGGGTCCCACCGCTGGCCCAGGACGGGTGTCTGCCGCAGCCCAAGGAAAGCTGTCATTGAAGAGAGCTCATTTTAAAACTTGGGCTTCTGCGGACAGCTGCCCATGACTAAGCGGGGACCACACCCGCCCGGGGAGCCGTTGGCGGCCAGACCACAGCCTGACAAAAGGGCCGCCGGCACGGGGGTGTGGGCACCACTCCCTGCCAGCCCCGAGCACCAGGACTTCCCTTGGAAAACCCCTCAGCACTGCCAAGAGGCCATTCCCTGGGGGAGGCACCGCCGCAGCCCGGAGGATGCCTGGGGCAGGCGTGAGCAGGGGTGCAGGGGGGCCCAGGCAGTGCTACCCTCCAGAGTGAGGGCGGGACTGGCTGACTGTCCACACCAGCATTGCTTGGGTGCCACCTGCAGAACAGCGGGCACCTCGCCACTGCAGGGAGCTCCGAGCTGGGGCTGACCCGGCATGGCGGGCAACGTCACTGCAGGGAGCTCCGAGCTGGGGCTGACCCGGCATGGCGGGCAACGTCCTGCCTTGGCTGTGTGCTGAGGAGTTCTGGGACCCCGCAGTCAGCAGGGGCTGGTCTACCGAAGGAGCTCCTCCCATGAGGGGCCCCTCTTCCTGCTGGACAGGAGGCAGCCACGTTGTGACTAGGAGAACCTGTGACCCAAGCTGGGAGAAGCCTCCTGTTGGCCTCAGTGAGCTGGCAGGGGCCCTGGGCGACCCTGGGGCGTGTCTCCTGTCCTGTTCTGGCTTCTCCACCATGGGCCCTGGGAAGCTTGGGGCTACCTGCTTCCCATGGGGTGAGGAGACGTGACCCCGTGACTGCGCAGCTGGCTGGGTTCAGGCACCATCCGCTCTGGGTGAAATTCCCTCAGGTGGCCCTGCTACTGAGCCTGCAGTCACGGCCCTCAGCCGTGGGAGAAGCCCACGGCCCGCTCCCGGCCCTCAGCCGTGGTAGAAGCCCACGCCCCGCTCCTAGTCTGTTGATCTGGTAGGCTTGTTAGAACTGCCACACTTCTGTCTCCAGTGCTAGCTGGCTGGGAGGCCCCAAGTCCACGATTTGAGAAATAAACTCCAAATTGGAAGCTGTGTTATCAGGCACCTGTGACCAGCTCATGGCTGTGTCACGGTCACTGCCCACCGGGGTCCCTTCCCAACACAGGGGCGTTCCACCTCGCCCAGGAGCAGGGGCCAGCCTCGCCTGGGGATGGATGGACAGGTGGGTGGATGCACGGTGCTGGTCCGCCTGGCTGCCCACCTCCCAGGAGGGGCTTCCTCCCCATTGACCTTCTGGAACTTACCATGAAGATGATGGAGACGAGGTTGGTGAGGTAGGCTGGGAAGCGGTCTTTCCAGGTGAGTTTCACCTTGTCGGTCTAGGACATCAGACAGTCGGGGTCACTCCGGGAACTACCACGTGTGGGGAGTGTGTGTGTGTGTGTGTGGACACGCACATGCGTGCAGCCAGCTGAGACGACACGGACACACCCCAGTCAGTCCCTGAAGACCCTGCACGGCGTCCGGTGCTCCCAGGGACATGCGGGCCCAGGTGCGTGGCTACTGCCAGGCACGCCGGGAGCCCTTGGTGCTGGGGGAACAGCAACACCTAATACCTTAAGAACAGACTCGGGGCCGCCACACTGGCTCAGTGGACTCATCCTCCCCTTGCACGCGCCAGGATCCCACACAGGAATCAGTGCAAGTCCCAGTGACTCCACTTCCCACCCAGCTCCCTGCCTGTGGCCTGAGAAGGCAGTTGAGGACGGCCCAAAGCCTTGGGACCCTGGACACGCGTGGGAGACCTAGAGGAAGCTCCTGGCTCTAGATCGGCTTAGCTCTGACAGTTACGGATATCTGGGGAGTGAACCAGCAGAGAGATCTTTCTCTCTGGCTTGTCTTCTTTCCATAAATCTGCCTTTTCAATATAAATAAATAAGCATTAAAAAATAAAGTCTCGGAGTGCTGCTCCTTGGGGGAGCCACGTTCCCAGAGGCCGCACCGAGGCCCCGGGCGCTAGGATGCCTGTGGCTTTAGGTACCCAGAGCAGGATTGCTGCTCGCTCCTGCACAGACCAGTGTAGACCTGCATCTTGCGCGCTGGCGGCTCATGGCCCATGAGGGCTCTGTCCCTGAGCTGGCTGCAGTAGGGGCTGGGGTGGGTTTCCAATTGCCCCACAGGTTACGCATTCCAGGTTGTGATAACACACGGGTGACCGAGCACACAGACCAGCAGGCGCCACAGGCAAGTGTGACAAGCACGTTCCATGAGCCCCGTGTGAGCCAGAGCGACCCCTCCCCACACAGGTCCACACGGCCATGCAGTGACAACACAGGGTGGGTGTTAGCCCACGTCGCTTGCACCCGCGACACACGCCCAAGGATGTACCAATTTCACCCCTGCCATGGCTGTCCTAACCCTCTGCTTCCACGTGTTTGTGGGCTCCTCTGGAAGCGGCCGGCGCTTCTGGGGGGTGGGGGGAGAGAGCAGCTTGCAGTGAAGCTCCTGGAGGGAGGGACACACACACACACACACACACACACAGCTCGGGCCAGCAGTGGACACACACACACACACACACACACAGCTCGGGCCAGCAGTGGACACACACACACACACACACAGCTCGGGCCAGCAGTGGACACACACACACACACACACACACACACACACAGCTCGGGCCAGCAGTGGACACACACACACACACACCCTGCAGGCCAGCGGCAGTGAGCTGCCCACCTCGCCAGCGGGCTGCTGGGGCAATCACGAGCTGGGTGCCCTCAGGTCAGGCCTGGAGCTCCCGGCTGCAGGTGCCCCTGCCTGGCTCTGGCCTGTCCCTCCTTTGGGGTGGCTGCTGTGACATCAACAGATGCAGGACAGCAGGCCTGACTCCCACCAGCTGCACCCCACAAGGCCCGAGTCCACGTGCCAATCACTCAAGTAGTGGGTTCCTCACCGCCTTTTTAAAATTCCAAAGCTGCAGCCAAGTGAGAAGGGAAGAAAACAGGTGGGGGTGGGGGGGCTGGGGTCACGGGCAGACCCCACCCCTCACTCAGCTACCCTCCCACTGTGAGGGGCTCACGCCGAGACCCAGCCGAGGCCGGAAGCCAGCTCGGCTTTTGGCCTCCATTAGGTCCCCAGCCTCGTGTGGGCATGTCATGTGCCATCAAGCCACCCTCCCCTTGGTGGGAATGTAACACTGTGCCCTGTGGCTGGTGCCAGGAGGAGCAGCCTCAGAGCCCTGCAGACGTCTGGCCCCAGGCTGGCGGCCAGGACGCTTCCCTGGAAACCAGAGGGAGCGCCTGGCTCCTGGCTGGTGCTGGTAGCGGTGAGGCAGCACCCGCACCTGCTCGGTGTGAGCGAGTGTGGGCAGTCTGATCGGAGGGCGAGGCTCTGTGGCCAGTGTCCCCATATTGCCTACCCGGCCGCGGGAGGCATGCATCGTGGCCTGGAAGCCCCCATGTAGCAGTGGTGGCCTGGCCACCCTAAACCAGCCAGCCACGAGCAGGAGATTCAGTCCCAAGGAGAGGGACCCCAGCTTGGTTCTGCTCAGGTAGCAGGGTCAAGACCCTGTAGCCTCAGGGGACACTCTTGCCCTTGACCGCCTGGCCCTGGGACACCTGCTTGGATGCCAGCCGCTCACCCCTGCAGGTGTAGGGGACGTTTTGTGAAAAGAGGCGGCCCCAGGCACATCGCACCAAAGGCATTTCCCTGTCCCCAGGATCTTCACAGCAGCGGCTACTGGCGTGGGGGCCCTGGCTGCACACAGAAGGCCAGGCGTGGGTGCTCCATGGGGAAGGCCCTGGGCTCGAGGTCTGGGCTCTGCCACAAGGGCGTGATGGCCCGTGGTCCCTGCATGCCGCTGCGTAGGCCGTGGCCATGTCCACAGACTGACCTCCCCACGGGGCTGCTGTTGACCCAACAGGCTGCACTGGGGCAAAGGGACCCACAGAACCTGAGATGGGTCGACCCTGTCTACACCAGGGAACAATGTCTCCTGACCCCGTCCACACTGGGTGCCTGCTGCGTCCCTGACCCCATCCACACTGGGTGCAGTCAGCGTCCCTGACCCCGTCCACACTGGGTACACGCTGCGTCCCTGACCCCGTCCACACTGGGTGCCTGCTGCGTCCCTGACCCCATCCACACTGGGTGCACTCAGCGTCCCTGACCCCGTCCACACTGGGTGCACACAGCGTCCTTTGGCCCGTCCACACTGGGTGCACGCTGCGTCCCTGACCTTGTCCACACTGGGTGCACACAGCGTCCTTTGGCCCGTCCACACTGGGTGCACACAGCGTCCTTTGGCCCGTCCACACTGGGTGCCCGCTACGTCCCTGACCCCGTCCACACTGGGTGCACGCTGCATCCCTGACCCCGTCCACACTGGGTGCACACTGCATCCCTGACCCCATCCACACTGGGTGCACGCTGCGTCCCTGACCCCATCCACACTGGGTGCAGTCAGCGTCCCTGACCCCGTCCACACTGGGTGCACACAGCGTCCTTTGGCCCGTCCACACTGGGTGCCCGCTGCGTCCCTGACCCCATCCACACTGGGTGCAGTCAGCGTCCCTGACCCCGTCCACACTGGGTGCACACAGCGTCCTTTGGCCCGTCCACACTGGGTGCACGCTGCGTCCCTGACCCTGTCCACACTGGGTGCCCGCTGCATCCCTGACCCTGTCCACACTGGGTGCCCGCTGCATCCCTGACCCCGTCCACACTGGGTGCACTCAGCGTCCCTGACCCCGTCCACACTGGGTGCACACAGCGTCCTTTGGCCCGTCCACACTGGGTGCCCGCTGCGTCCCTGACCCCGTCCACACTGGGTGCCCGCTGCGTCCTTCGGCCCGTCCACACTGGGTGCACACAGCGTCCTTTGGCCCGTCCACACTGGGTGCACACAGCGTCCTTTGGCCCGTCCACACTGGGTGCCCGCTACGTCCCTGACCCCGTCCACACTGGGTGCACGCTGCGTCCCTGACCCCATCCACACTGGGTGCAGTCAGCGTCCCTGACCCCGTCCACACTGGGTGCACACAGCGTCCTTTGGCCCGTCCACACTGGGTGCCCGCTGCGTCCCTGACCCCATCCACACTGGGTGCAGTCAGCGTCCCTGACCCCGTCCACACTGGGTGCACACAGCGTCCTTTGGCCCGTCCACACTGGGTGCACGCTGCGTCCCTGACCCTGTCCACACTGGGTGCCCGCTGCATCCCTGACCCTGTCCACACTGGGTGCCCGCTGCATCCCTGACCCCGTCCACACTGGGTGCACTCAGCGTCCCTGACCCCGTCCACACTGGGTGCACACAGCGTCCTTTGGCCCGTCCACACTGGGTGCCCGCTGCGTCCCTGACCCCGTCCACACTGGGTGCCCGCTGCGTCCTTCGGCCCGTCCACACTGGGTGCACTCAGCGTCCCTGACCCCGTCCACACTGGGTGCACACAGCGTCCTTTGGCCCGTCCACACTGGGTGCACGCTGCGTCCCTGACCCTGTCCACACTGGGTGCCCGCTGCATCCCTGACCCTGTCCACACTGGGTGCCCGCTGCATCCCTGACCCCGTCCACACTGGGTGCACTCAGCGTCCCTGACCCCGTCCACACTGGGTGCACACAGCGTCCTTTGGCCCGTCCACACTGGGTGCCCGCTGCGTCCCTGACCCCATCCACACTGGGTGCCCGCTGCGTCCTTCGGCCCGTCCACACTGGGTGCACACAGCGTCCTTTGGCCCGTCCACACTGGGTGCCCGCTGCATCCCTGACCCTGTCCACACTGGGTGCACGCTGCATCCCTGACCCCGTCCACACTGGGTGCACTCAGCGTCCCTGACCCCGTCCACACTGGGTGCACGCTGCGTCCTTCGGCCCGTCCACACTGGGTGCACACAGCGTCCTTTGGCCCGTCCACACCGCAGACAGACAGGCTGATGGGACCTGTACCTCTTTGTGTTTGGACTCTTTCCTCAGTGACTTTTCCAGGACTCTGGCCTCATACTCGGCCCTGGGGTGGTCCTGGAAAGACAGCATCGGAGGGGGGGTGTCACTGCGCGCCCCGACCCTACTCCCGGCCTCGGCGGGTGAATCCACAGGAAGCCCTGGGCACCCCAGGGCCAGCTCACGGTGGGCTCCCACTGCGCCTGCAGTGTCCCCTGCACCCCGCCACCCCTGCCCAGAGTGAGCTGGCCCCGGGGCGGTCAGCAAGCAGACCCGGGCGCCCGGCAGAGAAAGCACTGGAAGGAAAGGAAGGGGTTATGACAGAGTGCTGGCGGGAGGAAGCAGAGACCAGGCCCACGCGTGGAGCAGCGGCAGGAGCTGTGAGCCCAGCCCCTCTCCCCGGGACAACCCAGTGACAAAAAGGTGCAAACCTTGACCGCCTCCTGTGGGGGACCAGAAAAGGAAAAAACAACATAAATAGTCATGATGGCGCTACTCCATGGGACGTGCGGGCACACCCGTGCCATAGCCGCCCTCCTCCGGCCTGGCTTCCCCCAGCTCAGCTGATGGCCGCGGCCCGGCAGCCCTTGCCCATGCTGCCCATCATTCCTGCACTCTCCGCTGGGAGGCAGGTGCAGCCCCGGACGGCCAGGATGAGGACCCCTCAACTCTTTGGGCTTCCACACAGCTGGCTAATGAGCACCTCCCAGCTCTGCCCAGGAGGGACAGACCCTGGAGGTGGCCGGGGCAGTGCCATGTGTGCAGGTGGCCGTTGGCCTGCCCTTGCCCTCCGATTCAGCTGGCAGTGAAGTCCTGCAGTGCCAGCAGGCCAGGGTCCGAGGGGTGGGAGGGCAGTGGGGCACACGCCCCTATACTCTCCAGCGGCCACTGCTGTCCCTCTCTTTGGAACCCGAGGTGGTCCGTGTCGGCTGTCCATCTCCGTCAGCAAAGGCTGCGTCCCCACCCCACACAGCCTCGCTCAAGGGCAGGCGGCATCCTGGCCTGTCCATACCCCGCCGGCCAAGGCGCCGAGGTCAGCGTGGCCAGCCCCAGCTGGCCTCCGAGGCCACAAGGCTGGGTGGCATGTCTGTAGGAATTTGGAGACGACCAGCGTGGAGTGGTCGCCCCAGCAGCCGAGGGCATCTGGAATCCTGGGAGGATGAATCAGCTAGCGGGTGGCGGACCACCGGGAGCTCCGTGCTGTGCGGGGGAGGGCGCGGGGCGGGGCGGGGTGGGGGTGGGCCTGGCAGGCCACGGGTACTGACCTCCTCCCCCTCGAAGCCCGTGAGGTCCCAGCGGTAATTGAGTCGCATCTGTTTCCGTTTCCAGTGTTCCATGAAGGTGGCAGCTGTGCAGGGCGGGAGACAGGACTCAGCATCGCCACGTCCCCGGCACCCCGGGATGGGTGCCTGGTGAGACTGTGATCCCGATGGGCTCGCCCTCTGAGCAGAGACTCCTGCGCTCTAAGGAGTACGCAGCCAGGCAGGGAGGGGCAGGGACCACCTTGCTTCGTCATGTGATGGGACTGGGGCCAAGCAGAGTGGAGACGTGGGAGACGTGTCACTCGAGTCCCCCGCGTGACCTCATGAGTGTGAGGGGCTGTGTGGGTTCTGGCAGGGGTACGATGGGGCGTGAACTTGCTGGCTCCGAGAGCTGGGGTCCCCTGGCACACAAGCTCAGTGTCACCTGCTCGGAAGTGAGCCCAGCTGGTGACGGGAGAGTTGAATGAGATGCACAGGGGTTGGGGGTGCTACCCCAGGCCTGGGGGACCACTGCAGCCACTCCCCAACCCAAGGGCATTGGGCAGTCAGGGTCGTGGGGGTGAGGGTGGAGCCATGGAGGACCATGGGGTGATGTCCCAGTTCCTGGCTGCCCTCTGCCCTCCACCCTCTGCCCTCCCTCTGCACTGGTTTATCTGCCAGGAAGTGAGAGTAAGTGGCCTGGGTTTGCAGGCATGGCACAGAGCTGAGCAGGGATGGGTGAGGGACCCTCGGCCGGTGTGGGTGACAGATGAAAAAGGAAGCACACAGCCAACAGGACCACCTTGGACAGGAAGCCGTACCACCAAGGACACGACTAGCAGAGGGCAGAGCCAACCCACGCCACGGGAGACCAGAGCTGCAGGCTCCCGCTGTCCCATTAGAGGAAAACTCCCATTCAGCCCGGCTTAGGAAGCAGAGTGCTACATATGCAAAGGGTGGCACACAGGTGCAAAAGGGTGGCCAGCAGGTGCATGCAAGAAACCCCACCCTCCAAAAAAACAAAACACACTTAATGCTGCAGACATAAACAGGACCACAATGGATTCCACCTTCGAGTGGTGAGCACAAAAAGGAAAAAAAAAATTGCCGGCACATGCTGGTGACATGTTGAAAAGCAAGCAAGGTGCCACCGGTGGGAGCTGGGCCATGCCTTTAGGGCAGTCATGCTGTGCTGTGAGGCCAGCAAAGCCGTGGCCCAGGCCACGCCCATAGGAAGTGACGTTGTCACATCCATGTGGCACCTCCACGGAGTTGTGACAGCCACCAGCAGGGCCTACACCAGGATGGCCGGTTCCTGCACCTGTCGAGCAGGCCTGTTCACCTGCCCGCTCCTCCCCTTTCTCACGCCCAGTGAAGATACGGTGCTCCATCCCCACTCAAACTTGCAAGCGGCACGCGGTGGGGCTGTGAGGGCCCTGGGCTGGCTGCAGGTGGATGGTGAGAGGGGCGGGAACCACACAGCTTGGCGCCCATGCCTGAGCCGAGCCACTGTACAGGGCCGTCCTCTGCCGGTTCCACGAGGCCACAGGCCCCCTGTACACACACACCCCACCACCTGGTCCCTGTGCCATGGTGGGTGGGGGCAAAGACCCAGGGGTAGCCAGAGGCCACGGGTGGGCTGGGCCCATGAGGGTCCTTCCTGCCTGCTGTGTGGAGAGAACCCTGTGAGGTTCTCAGACAGTCACCCCGAGTACTCAGCACAGCTTTACCCGGGAAGCCTCTGCTGGGGAATGCCCAGTCACCGGGGACCAAGGGGCGTGGGGGTGGTGCCTCCCCTGGTCCCAGGCGGAGCTCAGACTGGCGAAACAGGGCACAGAGGCTGCCAGCCCAGGGCCATGCAGCTCCCCTGGGAATGCCAGAATGCAGCCCCTTACCAGAGGGGGTCTTAGCAGCACCCCCAGGCTCCCCCACACCGGGAAGTTCTCCCCCAGGCTCTTGTTCCCACACCTTCGCTCGGCATGAGCTGGCAGGTGGCTGGACATCCCCGTGACCATGTGCTGACCCCATGGGAGGCCTGCCAAGGGCAGTGGGGGGCCAGCCGCACGGCAGGTAGGAGGCCACAAGCCCCCTGCTGGTTGCCCCGCTGCCAAGCGGCAAAAGCGCAGGATGGCTACTGGCAGTCATGGAGGGATGATGTGAACATGTGACAAGGAGTCGCCAGGGGAATGACCAGTCCCTGGGGACCACGTGGTCACTATGGCCCTGACAGTGGCAGGGCGGGCCGGGTGGACAGCGTTCCGGAAGGGGGCGGCTTTTCCTGACTCTCTCATGGGAGAGCGCGCAGCTGCGCCTGTGCCACCAAGACTGGGCATGTCGCTGGCTCACAGGACAGAGCCGAAGCTGGCCCGGGTCAGGGCCAGACTGCAGGTGTGTGGCACAGAGGCCCCGGCATAGCCAGGCCCCTCCCCTCATCCCAGGGCCTCTTCCTGAGCCGTGCCCTCCTGCACCCTCGGCTGGCAGCTCTCCAGGGCGGTGACCTTGGCCACATCGGGTCTTATCGGCCCGCCACGTGCTGGGTTCGGGCTCAGATCCACGGACCCCGGGCTTGGCAGGGACATTGTCACCTCCATGTCCTGTTGGCCTCAGAAGCCTCCAGCGGTAGCAGTCCCATGCCAGGCATGCGCCCATGGCCCCTCATCCCCCTCGTGTGCCCATTTCACAGATGAGGAAGCTGAGGCTTCGAGTGGCCAAACGGTCACACGGGAGTGCTCTGTGAGCCCCCGGGTGTACGTCAAGGCCCGCTGGGCTACCCAGCTGACCCTGAAAAGGCAGCACTGATGACCTTTCCATGGCTTGCGTGGCATGGCCCCTTTGAGGAGCCCCCGCACACCCTGAGCTGGTCCCACGGTGCCTGTCAAGGACACATGGCTGCCAGGCACTGGCTGTCTGCACAGCAGCCTGGCGACAAGCCCCGCCCACCTTCACAGGCTCAGCAGCCTTCCACCTCTTCCAGGAAGCCCTTCCTGACTTCCCTCCCCGGGAGGGCCTCCTGTGCCCCCGAATGGCCAGGCCTTGGAATCAGGGCCTGGGGAAGGCTCAGCACAGCCCACTGCACGGATCCCAGATCCCCAGTCCCAGCACCTGCCACTCTCTCCAGGCCTCTACCTTCTTACTGGAAAATGGGCTCAGGGGCCGAGCTGCAGGGGTCAGCACGTGGGCTCTGAGGCAGCCGCCCCTCCCTGGGCTACCGTGCGGGGAGCCCCACTCACCCCAAAGGGCCATGAAGACCGAGAAGAAGACGGTGGCGGGGTTGTCGAAGAGGTGGCTGGCACGCGCCGTGGCGCAGGCCGAGCTCATCTTCCAGTAGCTGCAGGTCTTGTCACACAGCGGGCACATGGTGATGTTATGTCTCTGGTCACACATCTCCATGCTGGAAGACAGGGACAGCGCGGGGACAGGCACCCTCTGGGGGCTGCATGGGCCGCCACCAGGGTACCAGGTCCCTTCCCAGCCTCCGCGCGCTGGACACGGAGCTGGGCACTGCTCCCAGGGCCGTCCCTATCCTGTGCCTCCACCTACGACCTCACCACACTTGAGACAGGAGGCCTGTCTGCAAGGCACACGCCCAGGGGACTGGCACAGGGATAGGTGTGCCCACACCCTGGGGGCAGTGAGGTGCCGTTCTACCCAGCAGTGAGGCACACGGGGCCGGAGCCCCTGCCGCATGGCACCAGGAGCCTCGCGATGCCCGGGGTGCCTGGCCAGACAGACAAGAGGAACCTGAGGAGGGCACTGCCGCTGATTTTCCCTTCTGGAAACAGAACGGAGGGGAGAGGCCAAGGTAAAGACCACCCCTGCCCACCCCCAACCCTCCTCCTTCCCTGACCCAGGGCAGAGCCCTGGACATGGCAGCGGGAGTGGGCGTGGCCTCTCGCAGCACATGTGCTGGACGCTCACCAGACACGTGGCCAAGGTCACTGCACGGGGCGCCCTCGCCTGCCGAGGTGTGTGTGCGCCTTGCCCTTCCCCTCTGCGAAATGGGCATGTTTCTGTCACTGGGCCACTGGGCCCTGGTAGCAGGTGGGTGGAGCGCTGAAGCTACAGGGCAACCCAGCCAGGGCATGGAGACCCTGGAGCCCTTGGCGGGTGGGCTCAGGTGCAGGAAGTCCTGTACCAGTGCCCAGCCTGCTGCGCCTGCCAGCACCCAGCCTTCCGCCTCTCCCAGTGACAGGGAGCTGGAAGGGGTAGGGTGTGGGGCACCACCTGCAGGCTGGCTCCCCTGCAGCCTTGGCTAGCTCGGGCAGCTCCCTGGGGCACGCTGCCATGTCACCAGCAGGGCAGAGACCACAGTGGGGATGGCCCGCTCTGCCCAGGCAGCAGGAATCGGGACAAGTCCACACGGGGGCCGGGGTGCTGAAGGCCTTCCCACCGAGGAAGGAGGGCTCCCGAGTCCAACTGAGCAGACAGCTCACCTTCCACCTGCCTTTCCCTTGGGGCTTGGGGTCCCTGCAAGCCTCGAGTCACCCTCAAGTCGCCCCCACCCACCTCTTCCCTCCTGTGCCCTCAGGGTGAGCTCTGGGCTCCCCACCACCTTCAGCGCCGAGAGAATGACCTCATGGCATATCAGCCAGGGCCAAAATAACCCTTCGGGGAGCCAGGCCAGATGCCCTCTGGTCAGGGTCCTGGGTGCGTGGAATATTTGAGGTGTTATTCATGGATTCAAACATCGGTTAGACAGAAACTTGACCAGATAAGGGCTTTTCTGTGCTGCCGTGAGGTCGTTTCTCCCTGAATCCGGGGCGCGCCGGCCCTCATAATGACTCGGAACCATGGCGAGTTTTCCAACGCTTGGCAGAGCCATCAGACAAAACCACCGAGTGATGGATGGAGGGGCTCACGGGACACAGAACCGAAACGCCAGGGTCAGCTACAGGCGGCCAAGAGCCCAGCGATGACCCTGGAGCCACAGGCCTGGCTCCTGGCTGCATCTGGGTACAGACCCCGAGGGAGCAGCAGCCACGGCCGGGGATGTGGGAGACCCCAATGGAGCCCCTGGCTCCTGCTGCCGCCAGGTTGAGCCTGGCTATTATAGCCGTGTGGGGAGTGAACCAGCAGATGGAAGAGACTCCCCCTGTCACTCTTTCAAATAAATACATCTAAAAATAAGTTTATTTTTGGTATGAGCATTTTGAAACATGTGCCCCGGACTGAGCTGACACAGACCTGAACTGGAACCAAGACAGACACCCCTGGTGCCTTGCTTTGCCCAACATGCCCTGAGCTCTTCTGTACTGGGACCTGGGTCCACAGTACTAGGGAGGCAGGGCCCTGACTTCCAGAGCACCCCTTGCTTGGCCTGTGGGCCCTGGCAGGGCAAGACCAGCAGTCCTGTGGGTGTCCTCAAGGCTGCAGCCCCTGGGCGGGGCTGGCACGTTCTGGGAGCAGTGGGCAGTCTGCACCCCATTGAGGCAGAACCACTCATTCCCACCTTGGGCACACAAAAGGCCCAAAAGCTACGGACTTCTGGGGGAGTGCCTGTGTAGGGGTCAGGTTAAGGTGACGCTGCTGGCTGTGAGCAGGGGTCAGGTGGGAGGTGAGGGCTGCTGGCTGTGCGCAGGGGTCAGGGGGATAGCTCATGGGTGTGTGCAGGGGTCTGGTGACAGGTCACAGGTGTGTGTAGGGGTCAAGTCAGAGGTCATTGGTGTGTGCAGGGCTCAGCTGGGCGGTCAGGGCTGGCTGAGTGCAGGGGTCAGCTGTGGAAGGCCATGCTGTGACAGACTCCAGGGCGGACCCCAGGACGGCTCAGGTTGGTGCCGCAGTGTTTCCTACCTGGGGACGTTCTGGTCCACGGTGGCGCATCCGTACAGGAAGACGATGACTCCCACCACGGAGGCAGGAATGAGCATCTGGGTGTAGACGCCCAGCCAGGCGAAATACAGGCCGATCTTCTCCCCGAAGTACTTCCTGCACCATGGGGCAAGAGGTGTTGTCACCACAGCGCCGCCCACAGGCCGGCCCACACCCAGCGAGGACCCACCATGATGAGGCTCTGGGTTCCCCGTCTAAGAGGCAGAGGGCATGGGCAGGCGTGGGGTGCCCTCTCCCCATGTTGCCTGCACCTGCCCCCTTTGCCCATGGTGCCTAGGGAGGTGGACAATGGCCCATGTTGATGGGCAGACACCTGCTTTGGGGGCTCTCGGCTCCACCCCGAGTCCCAGAACCAGAGGTAACTGTGGCGTACGGGTGCTACCCTCCCGAATCATTGTAAGCGTGTTGGCTGCAAGGCAGTTCAGCCAAGCTTCCACCAGCAAATGCCGGCCACAGTGCCCACTGGGCACTGAGCCTCCCGTGCTGGCCTCTGCTTTCTGCCCACAGGGACAGAGTCTTCAGGGGCATGGTCTGTGGCCATGCCAGCGAAGTAGCTCTTTCCCTCCTGTACACATGGTGGCACTGGCTTCTGGCCACAGTGACTGCGAGCAAGGGGCTTCACGCCACGCTGGCCCAGTTCTCCCACACAAGCTTCTCAACTCAGGTGGGAGCCGACTCCTCTGGGTGGGTCACCACGCCTGCCTGGGCCCCGCTTACCTGACTAGGTCAATCGGCTGGTACTTATAGAAGACCCTGTAACTTGCCCACTCTTCATACAGCAGCTGCAAGAGGAGAAGGGTGGGGGTGGGCAAGGGGTCACGTCCACAGCTGGCAACACAGCCTTGCCACCACACCACACCACACCTCGGACGCCTTTGTCCATTCATTCACTCACTCACAGGACACACACGGGGACAGCGGCCATGGGCAGGCAGCAGGCAGTGGCCACGCTGAGGCAGCAGCTATGGAGAGCTGCTTCTAGCCATTACAGCACACTTACTTCTCCCGATCCATCTAGAAGTGACCAGGAGTGGCCTGATGCCACCGGCCTTTCCCATTCAGACACTTGGTTGTTTCTAGTCAAATCATTCTGTTTAAAAATTGATTCGCTTCAGGGCCCGGTGGCATGGCCTATTGGCTAAAGTCCTTGCCTTGTATGCACCGGGATCCCATAGGGGCGCCACTTCTAATCCTGGCAGCCCTGCTACCTATCCAGCTCCCTGCTTGTGGCCTGGGAAAGCAGTCGAGGACGGCCCAAAGCCTTGGAACACTGCACCCGTGTGGGACCCTGAAGTGCTCCTGGCTCCTGGCTTCGGATTGGTGCAGCTCCAGCCGTTGCGGTCACTTGGGGAGTGAATCATCGGACAGAAGATATTCCTCTCTGTCTTTCCTCCTCTATATATGACTTTGCAATAAAAATAAAACAAAATCTTTTAAAAAGTGATTTGTTTGGAAGGCATAGTTAGAGAGAGAGCTCTTCCACCAGCTGGTTCACTTCCCAACTTGGCCACCAAAGCCAGGACTGAGACCAGCTCCACGTGGGAACAGGGGCTGCAGCACTGGGGCCGCCCTCCACTGCTCTCCCAGGCCACAGCAGGGAGCCGGAGCTCAACCCAGCGTCCTTATGGGATGCCAGCACTGCAGGCAGAAGAGGGCTATCAACTCATTTTTTGTTGCGATGCAGAACTACCAGGGTTTTGAGCAGAGAAACACGGATGGATAGAAGATTAACAAATAAACACAACAAAAACACAACCTCGCAGGCTGCAGGACAGCCTGAGGGCCACCTCCTGTGCTGGGCTGTCTGGGCAGAGCGCACACCCACACTGGGAGGGGCAGTGCCCCCAGGGCCTTGGGCAGGAGCCGTGGTGGCCAAGCAGCAGCAGCCTCGGTGGTCACGCAGCAGTGTGCTCAGGACGAGGCCGTGTGGCGCCTGCTGCTGTGAGAGCCACTTCGCTTCAGGACCCCCTCCCTAGCTGCAAGCGTGACCATGCCCACAGCCACATGGGCCCTGGTTCGCGTCCCGGCTGCTCCACTTCCCATCCAGCTCCCTGCTGATACACCTGGGCAGACAGCAGAGAATGGCCAAACCCGCTTGGTCCCTGGTGCCCATGGGAGACCCAGAAGAAGCTCCTGGCTGACCCAGCCCTCCCCAGTGCAGCATTTGGCGAGTGACTCAGTGGATGGAAGATCTCTCTGCTATTCCACCTTTCAACTAAGCAGATCATTCTTTACATAGATACGGTGCTGTCCTAAGCCCCCAGCAGTTGGCCGGAGCGGCCTGAGCTGCCGCTGGTCCTGTCCTGGCTGGTGGGAGGGTTACCAGCATACACGGGTTCCTTCCAGAAAAATCTTTGAAAATAGTGAACCCATAAAAGGTTTGCTGAGCGTGGACACGCAGAACAGGGATGGTGGGATGCCGGGCAGCAAGGTGGGCTGGGGGTGGGGCCTAGAGCAGACTGGGGCGGGGCCTGGGGCGGGGCCTGGGGCGGGGCCGGGGGTGGGCTGGGATGGAGGGGCAGGGCTTTCCTGGCTGCAGTGAGGGGAAGTGGAGGGGAGGTCCAGGAGTTGGAGCCCTGTGCAATGCATGTGTGTGTGTGTGTGTGTGCCTAACCTGGGTGCCTAGCCTGGCCAGTGACCAATGCTGCCCTCCCCAGGTGGCCAAGGGCACCACAATGCCCCCAGTGTGACTGGGAGATCTGCTCATTGGACTGGGAACATCAGAGGCTGTGTGGATGAAGACCTGGGCCATGAGCCTCTGGGAGGAGAAGCCAGCAGAACGGCCCTCCTGAGGGAGTGGCCATGTCCCCACTCTGGTCACCACGTCCCCGGGGCTGCCCCACTGCAAGCACCCAAGGTGGCTCTTCACGGCCTGGTCCCGTCTCCAGCCCCCTGCAGCAGCCCCTCGACCTGGAAGAACCGCTCATCGTCCCTGCCGTCGGCGTGGCCACGTCAAGCCTGAGTCGCTGCCGGGAGGAAGCCAGGCTGGTATCTCGGCCACGGAGGCCTCGGGCATCGAGAGCGTGGGCTGGGAAGGGGCATGGCCAGGGCTGGCAGCTCCAACTGCGGGGACCCAGCCTACACCTCGAGGGGGTGGGGGCTCTGCTCTGCCCCAGTACCCCGTGCCCCGACTGCTCCGGGGGCCAGGTCTATTTGGCCCTCTGGTCCTCGCCTCCACACGGGCGCTGGGACCGACAGGTTCTTAGCGAGTCATCGCTGAATGAGTGGCCAGCCCCACACCTGTCCTCGGACGGGGGTTAGGTCCCCGGGGCCCCCCCTCCCCAAGCGGGGGGGGCCTCTCAAGGAAGGAGCGAGACATTAGCAGCGTAGGGGGACAGTGAGGGCTGGGAGGGGCTGGACCCCCAGGGCATTGGTGGTCAGGGCCCACGGGCAGGGGGACCAGGGGTGTGGGTCCCAGGCCGACGCCAGTACTACACGACACACAGCCCGACGTGTCATCAGAGCCGAGTTGGCAGCTGCGGCTGCATTCCGGGGTGGGCAAGTCGCATCAAGCCGCAGAGACTTAAACTCAGGCTTGCGGGCCAGAGGGAGACTGAATGGAGAGCATTGCATCAGTGAGGGGGCCGGCCCCGGAGGCGTTGCAACGGGGTCACCACTGTCAAGTTATGGCTGCCCAGTGTCATTGGGGACAGGAGCCAGGGGCCGGCAGGGCCCAGCGAAGTGGCCGTGTGCCAGGGAGGGAGGCTGCTTCCAGGGGAAGCAACACAGGTGGAACGGAGGAGCCACGGAGCGAGGCTGGGGAGGAGCCCCCGGCAGCGTGGGGCAGGACTGGGGACAGGCCTCCCCTGGCTGCACCCAATGGGTCCTAAGATGGCCTGCCCCCCGCCCTGGGGCTGGGCAGAGTCCGCCCACAGCCAGCACAGCCCGCCTGCACGCAGCAGGCTTTGGTTCAGCTGCAGGTTCAGGGCTGGAGGGCTCGGGGGTGAGGCAGAAGGCACAAGGAGGGACCCATCTGGGGAGGGGGCATCTTTCCTGTCTGTTACCTCCCACGGGGGCTTCTCCGGAACACCCCTGCCCCCAAGCGCCGACCCTGTGGACCCCGCGTCCCTGCCGCGCCCCGCACGCTCTCACCTTCCTGTCGTTGAATTCCACGCTGTCGCCCTCGTAGTCTCCCTGGGTGGGAGGGGAGAGAGAAACAGGACGCTCAGCACCCACAGAGGGGCGGGGGGCCTTGGTGGGGCTGCCTGGAAGGCAGGGAGCTCAGGGGCTGCCCCAGCGGCCTGTCGGGGCGGCACCCCTTTCCTGCTCCCTGGAGGGGTGACAAACTACACACTCGTCATCCACCTGGATGGGAGAGCCCAACGCACCCATTTCACAGATGGAAGCACTGAGGTGCCACAGAGCCAATTGGCATCTCTTTACCCACAGCTTGGCTTAGAGAGTCTTGGGTGGGAGGGTGCCCCCTTTGAGCCAGGCTCAGAGCATCTGACCGTGTATCCCGGTGGGCAGCTGCTCATAGCCGCCGCTCTGGCCATCCTCAGCAAAGCTCTCAGGGCCCATGCCCACTTGAGCCTATGGCCTCGTCCTCACAGCCCTGCCTTTGTGGCCGAGCTGGCCCTCGGCCTGCCTGCTGGTGGCCTCTGTGAGCTCGGGCAGGGGGATGCCAAGGGGTCGCCAAGCAGCCAACGTCGAAGCCCTTCTTGTGAGGTTGGGAAGGTCAGGGCACTGGCTGGTCAGGTGGGCCCCTGGCACCCTGCCCGGGGAAGCTGGCTGGGTGAGCGAATGAATGAATGCAGAGGGCAACTGTGGGATGGGAGGAGCCAGGAAGAAGGCACTGAGTACACGGCAGCTCCTACCCGCCCCAGGTGGCAACACAAGAGGGTGGGCCGTGGCTTGGTCAGTGGCCTGGGCATGGCAAATCCTCCGGGTTACAGGTCCCCCACCCCCCCATGCACAGAACAGGCTCTCAGAGACGCCCCGCTAAGCCTTAACGGGCAGCTCAAGGTGGACTGAGGGTCCCTTCCCGAGGCCCCATTAGGGGATGGCTGGCTTCAAGGCCTGGTGCCAGGCCACCTGCTCCGGGTGGGGCAAGTCAGACAGTCTGAGGGGAGGGAATCCCTGCCAGAAGCCACCCTGGGGACCGGGGACCCAGAGCCCCAGCTTCCTGACCGGCTCAGAGCTCCAGGGACCTCCCCAGGGCTCCTGGTCACAGCCACACGCCCTTGCTACCACGTGCTCGGGCCACCGGGCGTGAGAACTGGCAGCCAGCAGAGGGAGCAAGAGACCGACCGGGGTAGGGGGAGAGGGGAGGGGACTGCAGGGGGGTGTGGGGAGCGACCCTAGAGGGAGGACGCCAGGGAGGGGTGCGACCGTGGGGGTTTGCGCGGGTCAAGGTTACTCACGTCATGCAGTGGGTACGCGGCCGAGTACACGCCGTTGGCCAACAGGCTCGTGATTCCTTCAAAACAGAAAGAGAGGCGTCGGGCGAGGGAATGGGCGGCTGCGGGACAGGGCTCCGTGCTGCCAGCGCCTCACCCAGAGCCAGCCGCAGCTGGGATCTCTCCCCTCCCCCATCTATCAACTAGGAGAGCAGGAAGCATGCTTGATTGACAGAACTTGCAAGAGACCCAGAAAGACATCCCAAGAGGCAGGTGGTCCTTGGAGGAGGCAGGCGCCCGCAGCCCCCAGGTCCCGGCTCCACCACCAGCCACCACCTGCTCTACCACAAGCCTGCAGACTGGACGGTAAAGAGCTGAATCAGGAGGACCCGCGCGGCTGGGCACGCCAGAGGCGCCGGGAGTAGGCATACAGTTTGAGGCTTCGGGTTGATTGGAGGAGCCGGGAGGCGCCCGCACTTACCGTACTTGCCACATTTGCGCCTTTTATTTAGAAGGGCAGACTCCTTCCTTCCCTCTCCTCGTCCTGTTTACACATCGGCCATTAGTTCCACGCAAGGGCCCACAGGACCGAGGCTGCACTGGGGGGCTGAGCTGGCACCCGCCGGGCGAGGGGCTCATGGCCACCCGGGGCGTGGGCTGCCAGGCCTGGGGCTTAGTGCCCGGAGTGGCCCCGACCACCTGTAGGTGCTGCTTCAGCCAAGGTGGGTGGCAGTGGAGGAGGGGTGGGAATGTCAGGGCTGTGCGTCGGGGCTCCTGGGACTCTGTTCACACACTGCACCTCGGAGGAGCCCCCAAGGGGCCCCTTACCCGGCCGAGGAGCCCCTCCAGGCAGTAATCACGCCCCACGTCCACTCTCTGTGACCCCTACATCCCCTTACAAACGGACCATCTTGGGGGCTCTCACAGTGGTGCAGTGAGTTAAGCTACCACCTACAGCACCTGCAACCCATGCTGGCGCCGGTTCTAGGCCCGACTGCTCCACTTCCCTTCCAGCACCCTGCTGATGCTCCTGGGAAAGCAGCAAAGGCTGGCCCGAGTGCTCGGACCCTGCACCCACACGGGAGACCCAGAAGCTCCTGGCTTGGTCCAACTGCAGGCTGAACCAACAGATGGAAGATCTTTCTCTAAGATTGCCTTTCAAACAAATTCAAATTAAACGAGAGGACCATGTGCTCCGTGAGTGAGCTGGAACCGTGGCAGGACAGAGCCCGAGGAGGGGCTGCAGGAGGGTGTGGCCTGCGTCGGGGCCAGAGGCAGAAATGCATGCCACAAGACACCAACGTGAAGCGGGGTGCACAGGAGGACCCTGCCCCCACTTCCTCCTGGTCAGCCAGCGAGAGGGAACGTGGCCCGCTCTCCCTCAGAAGGGACCCGTCAGGGCGCAGGTGGGGCGACCGAGCCACACTGCAGGTGCTGAACCAAGAGCTGAGCTCAGCGATCCAGCCCCGGCTCTGGCTGGCCTTGGAGGATGGGCACGGGGGAGAAGCTTGTCTGCTCCTGGTCCTCTGGGCTGCCCACGCCCCCACACCCCGCCTCCACCAGGCAGCCATGGGACAGGATGAGAAAGGGAGAGAGGGCGGGCACACACAGGACCTAGGAAGGAGGGGACACCAGCTGCGGGCATGGGCCCCACCCACCCACCTCCCTGAGAAGGGTCTGCCTTGTGCGACTTGGGGTGCTTTTGGGCCCAGCTGGTCTCAGGGCAGTTTCCCGCACTGGGGCGTCAGCGCCAGCGTACTTTTGGAAGTTGGCGGCAGGTGGAATGGAGGCCAGGTGGTGGCCTTGCTGGGCAGGGAGGACGCAGCCTGGGCCATCGGCATCTCCGGGGCCTGGGCCTCTGGTTCTCCCTTCCGGCTGCTATGCGCCCTGGCAGACGGCAGCAGGGGATGGTTCAAGTTCATGGGTTTCTGCCAACTCTGCGTGAGACCCGGATGGAGTTCCGGGCTCCAGGCTTCAGCCTGGCCCAGCCCTGGCGGCCGTGAGCATGGCAGGGAGTGGGCCACAGGAGAAACGCTCTCTCTTTGTCTAGCTCTGCTTCTCTGTCTCTGCCCTGTCATTTGAATATTGAAACCCACGTGTTAGGAATCTACACACAAGTACTCAGAGAAGGCGTGGTGTGAAAACAAGCCAGGCATGGAGTGAAACTTTTCTCACATTGCAACAGACTTATCTTCGAATCCCATCTTCCGTGAACTTTACAAATTTGTTGCTCTTCGTTTTCTCTTTTGAGAGGTACTTATTTGAAAAGACAGAACAGCAGAAACAGGGAGAGATCTCCCAGTATCTGGTTCACCCCCTGAAGGTTTACAACAGCTGGGACCAGGACACTCCATCAGGGTCTCCCCAGGGGGTGGCAGGGATCAGGTCCTGGGCTGCCAGCTGCTGCCCAGCCCCCCCAGGCGCATCAGCAGGAAGCTGGCTTGGCGGTGGAGGCAGGACTCCTGGCAGGGACCCTGGAATGCGGGCATCGGAGTGGCGGCTTAAGGGGCTGTGCTCAGGGCAAGCCCTGGGGTGGCATTGCACTGGCGTCTTCTGACCCAACCCTAGGTTCATCTGGCTGCCTCCAGCAGCCTCGGAAAGCAGCCCAGGCCATGGCCCCAAGCAGGCGACCCTGACACCTGCCCAGCGGGCTCCGAGGGTCCACAGTCCAGGCTCTCAAGGCCACTCAAGCCAGAGCTCCTATTTGCAAAACCTCGGCCATCAAACCACTCAGCCTGGGCAATGGCGACACAGGCTGATCTCCAAAGCCACCAAGAGACCTTGGAAAGATTTTCTCAACCCTGCAGTAACGAAACCAATGACATCTGCAGTAATACCACGGGAACACTCTGGTTGGGGTCTCTAAGGTGTTACTGGAGGACCGGCCACCGTCCCTGGGTGTTGAGGCAGTTTGGCAAGGCGTGGCCCCTCCTCCCCTGAGGATACAGCAGGGAAAAAACCCTGAAACAATGTATCCCGCCCACCTTCCTCCGCCCTAACCGGAGGCTCACATGGGCCTGCGTCTCTCTCAACTATGTAAACAATATTAAGAAGAAAATCAAAATTAAACAAAAAATAATAACGCAGAGAAGCCTCTGACAGCCGGCCACCTCCCACGGAGACGATGCGGAGCCCAGCCCCCGCCGTGTCCTTACCCATGCTGTACTTGGCCTTGGTACAGGTCGTTCTCTTCAAAATCTCATAGACCTGGGGGACAGAGCCGAGAGGTCAGCAGCCGGCCACACGGCCGCCTCTTCCTGGGACCCGGGGACAGCGGGTGGCAGCCTTGTTCTGGGAGTGCTGGGGGCGGGGTCCTGTGGTCAGCGGGTGCAGGGGGACCCGGGGGGCTGTGTCCTTTCCTGCTCACTCAGATGCCACACCAGTGCCCCCCAGCAGTGCTGTCCACGACCGGTGCCCCCAGCAGGCACAGGCAGAAGCCGACCACACAGTAGATGCCCGCCCACTCCAACTCCCCCGGACCCATGGCCAGTCCCCTGTCCCGTGCTCCCGTGAGCTTTCTGTGGGCGGACAAAGTTGGGGTGCCCAAATGAGGTGCTGTGAGTCTTGGAAAAGTGAGCCAAGACCGCATGCTATGCAAAACCCGCGCTCCTACGCCCAAGTCCTTTTATCTCCTCATCCCAGTTTCCGGCCAACTTTTATCTGTGTTTTCAAGAGGCGGAGAATTCCCACCTGCTACTCTGCTTCCCAGATAGCGGCTGCGGCCACAAGGGTGGCCAGCCCCCGCAACCCGCTCAGCTGTCCCCGACCCAGGGGGCCTCCTGTTGTGTGCACCAGCAGGAATGTTGGAAGGAAGCTGGTGCCATCTGCCCTCCACCGTGTTCCCCAAGTCCCCTCGAGTCCCCACACGAGGCACAGGGCCCTGATTACAAGGCAGCTGCTGTGGATCCATAGTGAGAAAAACACGGACCCAGCGGACTGGTGCTCAGGCGGGGCTGCTAACACCTGAGCTAGGAGTGGCTGCTCTGCTGCTAGGGGCGCGTCAGCTCAAGCTCCAGGGAGCGGCAGGTGCAGTAACAGGCTTATCACCCTGAGCGCTGATCGGGAATGTTAACAAGTTACACTGTTAAGAAAAATCCCAGCAGCTGCCTGCTCACGCCTGGTGCCCCGCCCACGTGGCCTGGACCCCCACAGGAATGCCTGGCTGCCTTTTGTTTGCTGGGGGTGGGGAAGGGAATCCTCATCTGGATGTGTGCTCTGTGACTCTCTTGAGGTTCCGAGGCTAAAGGAGAACAGAGAGCACCCAGGTCTGTCTGTCCCAGCAGCAACTCAGGACCGCCACATCCACACGGAACGCACTGCTGTCCCACAGCCAGCTCCCTATCTATCTCGGGAGGGGGCAGTGAGAGGCGGCTGGGAGAACCTGGACAGCAGCGAGGGCTCAGACACTGGATCAGCTTCTGGCTGCTGCAGAAACCAAGCCCCAAGCTGCACCCAGCACCGGCTTGGCCGGCAAGCGCGAAGCCAGCCTCTGCAGCAGGGCAGGGTGGTCAACTTCGACCCTCCGAGAGCTCATCTGGCGCAGGCTGGCCCAGGCCACGTCCTTAGGCCTCCACCACGCCGGTCCTTCTGCTTTCTCAGAAATCCCGGGCCAGGGACCGGGAGTGGGGGTGGAGGGGGGGTGGGTTCAGGCGCAGAACCCAGCTCAAGTCCCTGCAGTGGGCAGGGGGCTCCCCGCCCCGCCCCACCCCCTCAAGCTCTTGTCACTCTCTCTCTCTCTCTGCTGTGAAGCTGCCCTGAGCCAGCCCGAGGCCCTGGCTCTCCCCTGGGCCTCCGACTGCCCTCTTGTCTCATTACTCTAATTATTTCTGTGGCACACAATTAGAGCCGGCGGCCCCCGCGGGAGTTCCCGGGAAATGAAATGATCAAAGGCATCCCCAGGGCCCCCCCGCACGCACGCGTACTCACAATCGTGCTCCGGGTTTTGCTGTCGAAAAACGAGTCTTTGTCGGACAGGTCGAACCTGCGGGAAGATTGGGCACTCAGCTCACGGGGCAGGGGCAGGGGCAGGGGTAGGGGCAGGGGCAGGGGCAGGGGCTGACCTTTGGGGCATCCAGAACAGTCTATGAGGTGTTGCCCCTGCCCTTGTGGGGGCACCGACACCCACTCCAAGATAAAGTGAGCCTGGAGTTGTGGGGGGCAACGTCCCCCCTGCTTCTTTTGGGGTTCTCCTTAAGGACAAGGCTTTGGAGCATGGGGCCTGCCCGAGGTGGCCCAAGGCTTCCTACAGCCAGAGGGCTTGTTAGGAATAGCCACCTGCCCCGTGGCTCTGGGGCTCAGAGGGTGACGGCAGGGACTTCTGCCGTTTGGAGGTGAGCAGCTGCTGGCCAGGCGGGCAGACAAGGGGGCTTGGGTGAGGATGTGTGTCTCTGGACCCCTGGTCGGAGGACTTGCCTTCCCTCAGGACCCCAGGAGCACCGGCTCACAACAGGTGAAGCCCACCCGCCCACACAATGCTGGGACAGACACCCCCACACCTTTCTCCCAGCACCCCAGCGAGGCCCACGGAGACGGGCTTCCAGGCTAGCTGACCCAGGCGGCTGTATGCCACTGCCCCTGGGGGGCACAGCAAGGGGAGGTCTGTGGGTAGGTGAGGGCTGCTAGGCCATGTGGGGGACCCTGGGGATGCAAGCTCCAGCTGCGGCCACTTGTAGCTCTCACCTCCGGGAGAGAGGGATGGGGGGCTGGCCGGGCTTAAGGCTTCTGGGGAATGGGAAGCATGGTCACCCCACCTTCCCGCCAGCAGTCCCCCGAGGGGCCTCCCGGGGGTGGGGGGGATCGCCAAGCAGTGCTGAGTCCTGTCCCTCCCTCTAATTCTGCAGCAAGCAGTGGCGTTCTTGGAGGACCCTCGTTGCCAGGCCTCGGCGGGGCCTCACTCACAGGTGCTGCTTCTCCCGGGAGAAAGGGTACGAGAGCCTCTTGGTGCTCTGGGGCCTGTGCTCGGCCACCTTGGGCTGGATGGGGGCCGTGACCTTCTGTAGAATGGAGTTGACCTTCTTCAACAGGCCCCGTGTCTCGTTGATGTGGTACATCTGCAGTCGGGGACAGGGTGGGCCTCGGGGTCAGCCTGGGGGTCAGGGGGACCCCGAGACCTGCTGCTGAGGGTCCCAGTCCCACTCCGCCCCGCCACGGTGCCCCAAAGGGCTCACCCGGGGGCTCGATCACCACCCATCTCCCCAGCTAAGCCCACTAGAGCCCCTGTGGGGCTCAGCAGGCCCTGGGCTGACCAGCTGGGGACATGGCCTCCTTGCCCTCCCCTCTCCTCCCTCCCCCGAAAGCAAAGAGGCCTCCACGCCAGGCGTCCCTGTCAGATCGCCTATGGCAATAAAGTCTTGCAAGATGAAAGAGAAAAGTCCCAGCCAGCACGGAGGGGGGTACACTGTGTCTGCGGCGATGACACATCCCAGGGACGGCTGGCCTGCAGCCTGCCCGTCCCCGCCCCACCCCACGCAGGAGACCCCGAGCTCTGGAGACCACCCACGGCGGGGCCCCTCAGCCAGGGACGGGCAGGCCTGGTGGCGCCTACCTTCTTTGTGGGCATCTTCAGCCGGAGGAATTCTGCCTCTCTACAGAGCACCGACCAGGGCGCGTGGATCTTCACGAAGCCCGTGCCGTGGATTTTGGTCTAGAAGGAGATGGAAGGGGTCGAGTCAGAAAGCTTCCTGCCCTACAGCTGCCCCTGCCCCACTGCGAGGCACCGCCCCTCCTCGTCTGCCCCGGGCTCAGGGCCAGCATGGGACATGACAGTGCAGATCCCAGCACCCCTGAGCCTCTGGGCCCTAACAGTGGTCCTGGGCGGGCATCCTTGCCCTGTAGAGTCAGGGCTATGGCTCTGTCGCCTCCCAGCCTGGTGCAGGCCTTAGCTCCACCAGTCTGGCTGCTCCAGCCCAGGGCCCTGTGTGGGGGTGGGAAGCAGCGCCCCTGAACACCTCCCGAGCCTGACTCCATCACTCCAATGCCGCAGCGCCCACTCCCATCGCGGGTGAACCCCAGCAACCACCCACCCCATCTGCCAGCCTGACTATGCCCCCTGGGGAGGCCATGGGAGGACACCGTATCACCAGGCTAGGGCCCCAGTGGCCCTGCTTGGCTACCCTGCCATCAGAGCAAGCTGCCCCGTGGGCCACACGTGCCCTTCCAGGCCTAGCAGCCTTGACCCCAGGCCAAGGAGCTTCCTTCCGGCGTTCCTGAACTCGACAGAAGTCCCAGCTAAAGGGATCCTGGGTCCTCCGTGATGCCACAGCTGCGTGGAAAGCAGCAGCACAAGGCGCCACTCTGCGTGCCCGGCAGTGGGTGACTGCAGAAACCAAAGCCTGGAGGAGTGATGGCAACGGCCCCGGCAGGGCAGGGACCTGAGCAGGTGACATCTTGGCACCTGGGCCACACCGGCCATTCAGGGTGAAGATCCTGGCACCAGCTGGCCACCTGAGGAAGAGAATCAGACCCCTGAGTCTGACTTTCTGCCCACCCCCCAGATCTTGCTGCTGCTGGACCCAGCAGTGGGTACGTGGGTCCTGGCCTAGCACACAGCTGGCTCAGCTCAGGCCTCAGCACGGCATGGCGGTTCCTGCGTGCGTGAATGGATGAATGACAGGCGTGGTGATCCCCGCCGGGGCTCAGGACACAGTCTGAAGCACAGACCGTCTGCTGGCCGAGTGGACGCTGGCTGAGCTATAGGACCTGCAGGCTAGGCAGAGGATGCTCCCCCAGCTGCACAGCGGGCAGACTTCAGAATGCCCTGGGCCAGCCCCAGCTTGGGCGAAGTCGGCTGGACTCAGGGTAGCCTTTCCCTGCCCCCTTACTACCCCCCACCAGCTGCTGAGGCTAAGTCCAACTCTGCAAGGAGACCCCCCCATGGCCCCAGCGCTGGGGAGCCAGCGAGGGTCCCAGGCTTATTTCTGAATACAGGGGGCAGGGAGATGCATCGGGCATGGGGCCACAAGTGCCTGGAGCCCGCTGCTGCCACCACGAGAGAAGGTAGCCCTGCAGACTGAGTGCTGGGGCTTCCTGGGGACACATCTGGCCAGACGCAGTGAAGGGGCCATGGGACGCCCCAGGATGGGTGCAGACTGCAAAGTAACAGGGTCATGTTGACCCCAAACCGAGCAGAGAGTGGGCGTGGCCAAAGGCGTGCACCTCAACCCTGAGCAGAAACCAAACACAGATGCCCCAAGTCTCCCGGGGGAGCGAGGTCTCCAAGTTTCCATCGGAGACTGCAAAGGTCCCAGGCGAGCTGTGCTGAAAGGCAGCCAGCCCAGTCCAGCCCTCACACGCCCAACGGCGGCCCTGGCCAACAGAGCCCAGGCCTGTGGGGGCAGCTGGGCCCACAGAGGTCAGCCTGGGAAAAGACCCTCGTGGCCCGGAGGCGGCCCCATCACCAGTGGGCCACCAACTGTGGGCTGAGCAGCCTCACTGGGATGGCTTCTGGCATTTTCCATCCAGAAGGAAAAAGAAAATCCACAAAGGAAACACAGGAGTCCCCCAGGGAGGCCAGGGGTGCCTCCCACGGCTGCAGGCTTGCATGTCCATCCCGCACGCAGGGGCAGGGAGACCCCGAGCAGGGCCAGGGCCCACTGGGCAGCCCTGCCGGAAAGGGCAGGCATACAACTTGCTGGAAGGGTTGTACCCCCTGCTGCCCCCATGGGTATTTTTCCAGTTTCCCTCGCTTCCTGGGCAGCTCTGGGTGAACGGCATACCCCACAAGGTCCAGGAAGTTTTAGAATCAGGGTCCAGCGCCCTGGGGGAGGGGCTGAAGCCTGGGACCACAGAGTCACCAGGGGAGACCCCCCTCTACCAGCCCCTCCCTCAGACAGGTCCGGGGGGAATGTGAGCCCCTTCCACACCCAGGCCAGCCCAGCCTGCCCACTGCATGCCCACCTCTGCCCGCCCACCTGGAGGGAAGGCCCAGGCCTCCTGACCCCATCCGTTGAGGACATGTGGCTGCATGGCCAAGCCCCCTTGCCCCCTGCTGCCTGGTGATCCCAGGTTGGGCGCCCCCATCCTTGGCAGCCGCCACCTGCCCTCCCTCCCTGCTGGCACCCAAAGATGGAACACTGCTTCTCAGGCAGGAGCTGTGGCCTTGGGGGTGCCATCCAGCGTCTGGCATGGAACGGGCGCTGGACACTGAGAGAAGAAAGGAAGGAAGGGGGGACCTCAGACCCACCCCCGCATCTCCCAGGCAGCAAGCCCGCCTCCCGTGGGTCCCACGACGAAGCTGACTGCCAGGTCCATCGGGACCCAAGATGGCGCCGCTGGGAGAGGTAACAGCAGCTGGCAGCTGGGCTCTGAAAGCAGTGTGTGGGGCGTGGGCGTGAGTCTGCTCTGCTCACCCCACTTAAGAAACAAACCCCGAGACAGACAAGCTCTATGGGGAGACAACAGATGGCATGGGTGACACGGAGCAGGCGCTGGGCTTGCACAGAGCTGGGGCAGGCATGCAGTCCAGGGGCGGGGGAGGCACCTGGGACGCCCTGGCCCAAAGCGGACAGCCCTGCCCTGTTTCCCTTCACAGCTTCCGGGCAGCGAGGCCCCTGGGAAGTGGCAGGTGGCGGCTCCCGGCCCTGCCATCCATGTAGGACACCCACAGGCCAGTTCTGGGCTCCTGACTCCAGGTGTTTGGGACAGCTCCGACCTCGCCTCTCAGCGAAAAACAAATGAAGGAAAAGGAAAAGGATGCAGAATTCACTTAAAGCGAGTCCGTCTGCGTAGCGCCCAGCTCTGCCTCCAGAAAACCAGGGACCGAAGTGACACTGCGCGCTTGGGGTCGCAGTGGCACTTGTGTGTGTGATGAAAGTCAGAACGCGAGCTCCAAGGCCAGGGCCTGCTGGGTGACGGGGAGAGGGGTGCGCCCTGGGGTGGCAGAGGCTAGTCTGCTTGCAAACAAAACCCAGGACTTGTGAGAAGAACTTCATGTTCCCACCAGGGTGGAGTGCTGTGCAGCGTGCAGTCAGGGGTCCCCCCAGAAGCCGGAGCTGCCCCCGACACCTGCCCACCCTCTCCTGTTACCATGGCAACCTGGCCCCACTCACTAGGTCACCTGGAGGAGGGTCCGGGGGACCCGGTTCTCTGCACCTGTGACCCTCAGTTCCTGGGAGCCCATGGTTGGGTCTGTGCTAGGCAGCAGGGGGCGGGACGTGGGAAACTCTGAGCCCTCACTCTGTGGTCGCCTGCCCTGAGCTGGAACTCCAGGCACACATTCGGCTCAGGGGGCAGAGTTGGAGCGAGGGGGCGGAGCCCTCCCTCGGCAGTCAGGCATCCTTCCCAGTGGTCCCATCCCAGCACGCTTTTCAAAAACAACATCCGACAAGGAGGACAGCGTGCAGATGCTGCCGGTCTGCCGCGCCAGCTCGGGGTGGGGTGCGGGAGCAGTCTGAACCCGGGGGAGGAAGGGACATAAGTGAACCCACAGAGGCAGGAAGGCAACGAGCTTGCATGGGGTCCCAGGGTCCATGACCTTGATGGAGTCTGCCAAAGTTGGGGTCAAGTTCAGCATCGGGGCAGTATGCGCCTCCCTGCCCCCCGCAGCAGCACACACAGCCTGGACTTCAGTGGGCGGCCTTCTCGGCAATGACCCACGGACATAAATAACGTGAGCCAACTCTGAGAGCGGACTTCAGAAATGCGCGCGGGCTCCGGCTGCAGGGAAACAGGCTAGCCGCAAGCATCTCCCGTCCCTTTAATGGGCGCTCTGGGAGCCGGCCAAGGGCAGGGGGAGGCTGCGGCTCAGGCGGAGGGGGAGGGCTGGCTCCTTCCGCCCTCCCCGGGTCAGTGTCCAGGGGCCGCAGGCTCCGAGGTGCCCAGGACATTTCTCTGGGACCCAGGGCCCTGCCTTCGCCCCATGGTTTGGGATACTTTGGAGGGAGCCCTGCCTGCTGTGGGGGTTCATGAGCGAAACGGCCTTCAGAGCAGTTGTGTCAGTGTGGGAGGCACTGAACAGCATCTCCCCGGATGTCCTGCACTGCCACCTGCAAGGCCCTGTGGACGCACTATAAGCCCTTTACTGGACAGCAAGGACAGTCAGGCTGGGCTAGAGCAGCCTCTGTGACCATGACAGGAAAGGCCAGGGACAGTGGGGGACTCCAGGGGCAAAAACGCCAGGGCAAGGCAGCTGCCGGACCAGGAGCCATCGGAAGTGCCCAAGCAGGAAACAGCCTCCTTCTCACCCCCCAGCATCGTCACAGGGCCTACGTCCTGACCACGCCTTGACTGGACACTGCCAGCCTGCAGGACACAGCAAGCCTAAGCCACCAGGGAGGGAGGGGGAGCCCCCGACCCCAACCCCACCACAACAGCTGCAGGTGACAGAGGCTGTTGCCAACACTCCCGTGCCCAGAGCCGGCCCGGGGACCCTCGCTATGTCCACCCTGCAGGTGTGCAGGACAATGACCTCTCATGGACACTGCGAGAAAGGCAAGGACAGAGGGCTTCATGGGGCCCCAGGGTGGTGCCCAGGGTGGGTGCAGAAGGTGGGGTCAGCACTCAGCAAGGAAGAGGGGTGGCCGCACCTCACACCAGAGATTCCACTCCCCAGCCCAGCCTTGAAAGCAGGCACATATTTGGTCTCTAAGGCAAGGAGGTGTTGGTAGCCGGGGACGGCTAGGGACAGCTGAAACAGGAGAGGGCCAGCAAACCGGGCTATGTGCTGGGTAGGAGCGTGCGGCGTGGCGCACCCAACAAAACCTGCAGCTTGAATGCCCAGAATCTGAGCACGCCTGTCCTCCCCCACCGGGAGGAACTGCTGCTGAAATGAATCTGCCTGGGCTCCGGGCGCGCTGATCGCCGTGGCAGCAGGAGCGTGCATGGCCCCCGCGGTTGCTGGCTCTGCCGGGGAGAGCGGGTGGAAGCCGCAGCCCCCAGACACGGGACCTTCCGGCGAGGCCCTGGCATCAGGGGGTGAAGCCAGGAGCTGGAACCCACCAGTGTGAAGAGCCGACTCGGCAGCTGCCAGGCCCACTCAAATTATGCAACGCGTTTGGGGATCACTTAGGAGGAAAATGAATTTTCCTGGTGATAGGAATCGATGTTGGTACATTCTCTTTTTATTTCAAAGTCCCGAGAGAGGATGGTGTTTGGGAAATGATATTTCTTACGCAGTTTTTAATCACACAGGGAGGCACACTCTCTCACCACAGCTTTGCCCACTCCGCATTCAGATAAACTGAGACCTGGCAGTTCTGCAGAGTCAAGTGCAAGGCCAGGGGTCTGCCTGAACTCACAGGTTCCTGTCAGACAGGAGCTGGTGGTCTGGACAGCATATCACAGAGCGGAGACGCAAACTACCGACCCTGCACGCCTCCACCCCCACGCAGAGGCCAGGGCTGCAAGCAGAGCCAAGCGAGGCAGAGATCCTCCGGGCCAGCGAACCCTGGGGCTGCGGCTTGCTAGGTAACACCAGGAGCGGCGTCTTTACCAGGCAACAAGGAAAGCTGTCCGGCCTCAATGATAACGCACTGCGCCCACTGCTGCCACCCACGGGCGCCCACTGCTCCCTCCCCACGGGCACCCACTGCTGCCACCTCATGGGCACCCACTGCTGCCACCTCACGGGCACCCACTGCTGCCACCCATGGGCGCCCACTGCTCCCTCCCCACGGGCACCCACTGCTGCCACCTCACGGGCACCCACTGCTGCCACCCCACGGGCACCCACTGCTGCCACCCACGTGCGCCCACTGCTCCCTCCCCACGGGCACTTACTGCTCCCACCCATGGGCGCCCACTGCTCCCACCCACGGGCGCCCACTGCTCCCTCCCCACGGGCGCCCACTGCTCCCTCCCCACGGGCACCCACTGCTCCCACCCACGGGCGCCCACTGCTCCCACCCACGGGTGCCCACTGCTCCCACCCACGGGCGCCCACTGCTGCCACCCCACATGCGCCCAGGTGCTCCCACCCCAGCCTGGGGTCCAGTGACGACACAGGTGCGCCCACCTGCTTCTACCCCCACCCCGCCCCGGTGCTCGTGCGCCCGCTTGCCCGCCCCGCCCCCTGGCGCCCGGATAATTACGTCCTCGTCGCGCTCCAGCTCCAGGCCGGCCTCCAGGAGGTTGCCCTCGTACTCCTCTCTGCGGAAGCGCTTGTCATCCTCGTGATAGTCCATGGCGGGCTCGGGCGGGCTGGCGTCCGAAGTGGGCAGTGGCATGGGCGACGGCGGCAGGGTCACCGCCTTCCCGGGCAGGGGCTGGTCCTGCCTGGCACCCCGAGTGCCCGACGCGGGCTCGGCCTGCTGCGTCCTGCGGACCAGGGGCCGGCTGCCCGAGGGCCGCTTGTGGTGGTACACGAGGATGTAGTCCACCTTGCGTTTGCCGTCCCGGAAGTACAGGCCATATTTGCAGCTGGCGTCGGGGTCCACTGACAGCGAGTTCAGCAACTGAGCAGGGCAGGGCGGTGTGGAGAGACAAGGAGACACTGAGCATGGCCGAGGAACGCTAGGAGCCACGGAGCCAGCCAGCCAGCCAGCCAGTCAGCCAGCGGCTTCCATCTGCTCTCCCCCGCAGAGCCAGCCACCCCTGCCAGGCCCTCTCCATCCCACCCATCCGACCCCCTGTGGTGGAGAACAGGCAGCCCACAGTATCAGGGCCATAGCCTGGGCGCGGGTCATCCAGGACTGATTTAAAGGAGTCTGTGCTGGGGTTGAGGCCACTGCTGTGCCGTCTCCTATGGGGAACGTGACCAGCCTGGGGTTCGAGTGTCCCAGAGACATCCCCTAAGGATGCTGTGCAGTGTCCGGGCTGGAAGGACAGTGCTGAGGGCCAGGCACCTGCCCAGGCCCCGAACCCGGCCACCTCCACACCACCACCTGACTCTTGCCCGACCCTAGCAAGGCCACAGAAGCTGCCCTTGACCTGGGTGCCCCGCCCAGCAGCCCCAGCCTGGAATACCCCCTCCCCACTGGCACCACGTGGTCACGTGGCATTGGTGGGAGGAGCAGCAACGAGTGCTGGCCGCTCTACAACCCCAAGTGCCAGAGGGGAAAGAAGATACCCCAACACAGAGTGCTGGGGTCAGGGGTGCCGGCAGAGGCAAACGGAGGGAGGGAAGGAGCTCACGGCCAGGCTGTGGGGGCTGGGGTCCTCACCCTCACTGAGGGCAGCGGCAGGGCTGTACCCCTGGCACCTTGGCCTCTCCGGCACTGCCAGGCATGGCGGGGTCAGCAACCGGGACTACACGTGGCGACAGGTCTGCCTGCCTGGGCCACCTCTGGGAGACCCACACGGCACGGCAGCATCACCCAGCTGCTTCCCCGGACGCCCTCCTGCTCTCTGAGATGATACCTCCCCGAGGGCTGGTGGGCTGGGACCCCCACCCCACCCCAGGCCAGGGGAACCCCAGCTTCTGCCTTCTTATTAAACTGAGGCACACTGAGAGCGGCTCTGAGGTCACAGGGCAAGCGGACAGTGGGGCCCAACTACAGGGCCCATCCACATGGCCCTGGGCGCTAGGGGACACTGACCCCATGCCCGCTGGGCCTTGGGCGCTGACCGACAGGGTCAGCAAGGGGAGGCCAGGAGAGCGGGATGTGCCCTCTGAGGCTGCTGCAGCAGTGGCAGGGGTATGCGAGGCTGGGGGCACGGCATGTGTCTGATCGGTCCCCGACCCTGCAGCCACCAGGCTCGGCTTCCTGCCTCAGCCCTGCGGCCCCAAGGAGGTCAGAGTCCCAGGAGCTCCTCACCCCGGCTCCTTCCCCATCATCCTCCCGCCAAGGGGCATGCCCCAGCTGCTCACTGCTGGCCCTCCCTGGCCTGGGCTGCAGGCCTCTGCTGGGGATCCAGAATGGGAAGGGGCCCGGCCGTTCTCCAAGTCCCGGCAGGATCCCTTGCCTGCAAGTGCCTAAGAGGCCTCGACCTCACCACACAGTGGGGCTCAGCCTCCTGGGGGTAGGGGGTCCCGGCTGGCAGTGGGCCAGCCTTGCCTGGAGCAAGGTCAGATAGTAAGGCCACCCCTGTGGGGGACTTGCCAGGGGACACATTTGTTCCCAGGAGAGGTGGAAGGAAGCAGTGGCAGCTTGCACACATGGGGCAGGGAGTGGAGCCAGAGGCCGGTCTGGAAGGCGTGTGCTCCTGCCAGCTGGCCCTCGCCGGTCCTCCATGACCGCCCTCGGATGGGCCGACTTCCCGCACGGGGCTGCTGGCACATACGATGTCCCATGGACGTGGTCAAGGGCACAGAGAAACGGCAGGTGTCATGGCTCTCGGGCCAGCTTCTTGCCTGGCTCCCTGCTCATGCGTCCTGGGAGGCAGCAGGGAGGGGATGGCCCCTGTGCCCCACGTGGGACAGCCAGATGCGGGCTGCAGCCTGGCCCGGCCTTGGCTGGTGTCGGCCCCAGGGAGTGAACCAGCAGATGCAAGCTCACCCTCTCACTCTCTCTCTGCCTTTCAAGCAGCAGGTGGAGGGCAAGCAGGAGCTGCAGGGACCCCGGGGAAGGGGAGAGCCCTCGGAGCGTCTCTGCAAGCGCTGCCTGATGCTCCGTTTCCACAGCCGGCAGGGAAGCCGCGTTTGTGGTGGGTGCAGTGCAAGCACAGTGGGTACATGCAGAGGCTGGCCCCCACCCCTGTCGCTGCTGGGGGCGCCCACAGACCCAGGCAGGCCTGAGACTCTAAACGCAAAGCCCCCACCCCAAATGCATCCTGAGCTATAGACTTGCTGTGGCAGCAGGGGAAGCAGGGTGGGAGATGTGAAGATACTTGAGGCTGACCCCCTAAAGTCCTGGGCTTGGGGAGAGCTGCCAGAAGTCATGTCCCCAGCAAAAGGAAACAGAAGCCCAAAAAATGCCTGCTGGGGTCCCCACGGGGCAGTGCCAGGTGGGGGCAGAGCACCGTCCCGCAGGGATGACCTGGCAGCCTGGCCTTGGTCCTGCATGGGTTATGAGGGCAGAGAAGGGCTACAGTGGCGCTGGGACCCTGTGCACCTGTCCCTCCTCTGCTCGCAGCATCTGCGTGTGCCAGCGTAGCCGTCCTGTGGGAAGCTCCTGCCTTCTCCGTAGGCAGGCAGGTGGCGTTGGGGACCCGAGACGGTTTCCTCCTGGTTTGAGGACTCTGCTCTCGGGCCAGAGGAACATCCTTTCTAGATGTCATTTTTTTTTTCTAATAGTGACCCCCCAAGCACTGTGTCTGAGCCTGGGGAAGCTGGCAAGCTGTGACAGGCAGGGAACCATCCTTATCTCTGCAGGTGCACAGGTAACAGTGAGTCAGGTATGGCCGAGCTGTCTGGGCCTGCTCGGGCTGCACAGATCCTGGGCCTAGCAGCTGCCAGCTGGAAACGAGAAGGCAAGGACGCCACCGGAGGGGTAACGCAAAGCAGGGGACACAGCCCGGCGTTTACATTCGTTCCTCTGGTCATTGAACCTGGGGTTCACACGGAGAGCAGGGGAAAAGGGCCCCGGGCTTATCCCGCAGCCCATCAGAGCAGGGATGGGACGGGACTCAGGTTCTGGTAACCCTTTTCAGAGGCAGCCCACACCCTGCAGCCTCCACGTGGAGCCGGCGGGTGACTCAGGGCGGGCAATGACTGAGCCACCACTCAGCCTGGGCTCGCGGCTACGGCTGCCCCCATCCACCGGGCTGCCTGCCCTGCCGCAGCGGCCCCTTGGTTCCAGAACTGTACGCCGCCTCCCCTAACCCCGCTCCCCACGCCAGCCCCACACCGAGCCCTGCACCAAAGCAGCTGAGTGCCGCCTCTCCTTCCTGCCAGCAGGTCCCAACCCTCTCCCCCACAGCCCCACGGCACGAGGGCTGCCCCACCTGCCCCCACCCGCCTCTGGGTGAGCAGCAGGGCCAGGGGTCACTCACCGAGGACTTCGTTTCCTACCCCACACTGGAATCACCTCAAGTTCAAGAGGGTCAGTTTCTGGAACGTCCACTCCCCCTGGGTGTCGGCCAGCCCCGCGGTCTCACGCCTCCCACTGGAGTCCCTCTGCCCCAATTCTGGGTTTTTGCACGTGTGATGTGAAAGCCGCCCCCCTGCCCCGACCCACCAGGAGCAGGTTCACCGACAGCCCCTGCCCCACTGGTCTGTTCCGAGAGCCCAGGGAGGCACGGCTGTCATCACCATGGCCAACAGGCGTGTCTGTCCTTCCACCCCTGGCGGGCGGAGCCTGTCCCGTTCCCGTGCCCGCCCGTGCCCGGGGACCAACCAAGCCTGGCAGGCTGTGCTGTGCAGTCGCCAGCCCCGGAGCTGTTCGGTTACCATCCTGTTTATCACGGCAGGTGCTCTGCCCCACCCCCACTCCAACCCTGCACTTGCTGCCCACCCTCACCTGGATATCCCAGGAACCCCTCCACTCTCCCCCTGGCCCCGGATGAGACCCTGCAAGTGCAGGCCCGGGCTTCTGCCTGCCCTGCAGCCCTGGAATCCTGCCACCCGGGCTTGTCCTGTCCCCCACCCTGCGCTGGCATGCTGAGCCTCCGGCCACAAGGACAGGCCAGCACAGCTCGGCCGGGGCTGAGCCCTTAGCTGGCCAGGAGCAGGGAGGTGGGGGCAGCGCGGAAGATGTCTGAGACGGGGCGGGAAGGGGGCGCGATTCAGTCCCCACAGCCACACCCCAGCCTTTCCCTCTCCAGGCAAAGTCTCCCTTGAGCCAAACACCTTGGGGACAAATTCTGCCTCGCAGGGGTCCCTCCTCAGCTGCTGCACCCCGCCCAGGGAAGAAGTGGAGAGCTGCGGAGGGGGGTGGTAAGGATATTTGGATGGGGGTCCCTGACCACGTGATGGGCTCCGGAACAGGCACCCTTGCCCAGCCACTATCAGGAACCCATTAGCAAGCAGCGCAGAGGAAACAGAGTGAAGAAACCCCGAGCCGCCAGCAGGCTGCCCTGAGCGCTGAGTTCCCCTGTGCTCCGGGCCAAGCAAAGGCTCGCTGGCCGGAGCAGGTGGGACCCGGACCCGGAGCTCCGGCGGGCACTCGGCCTCTGCCCTTGATCGGCCATCCCCACCCGGCTGCCCTTTGGGCTTGGAAAGGAGGGTCCCACTTGGGAGGCCACGGAGCAGGGCCCTACAGGCCATGTTTGTTCACGCTCGTTTTGGGCTCGCCCCTTCCCCAGGCACACGTGTGCGAGTGGACGCCCCCCACTCTGTCTCACAGAGGGTGTCACCAGCCGCTGTTGGGGCCCCGGAGCACCACCCCTGTCCCCGCACCCCCTACCCGGTCCGTGCGCCTCCAGCTCCAACCCGCCCTGCGCACAGGTGCGCGGCCCGTGCGCCCGCCGCCGCCGCACTGACTCACCGTGCCCTCGGACGGCAGGTGGCCGATGTCCTCGATGGCGCAGATGTTGATGATGTGGACGCTGCGGTCCTCGGCCGGGAGCGTCGAGTATTTCTCGTTGACCCTCATCGTGGCCGCCTGAGCGCGGGCACCGCCGGGCGGCGCGCCCTCCCCATCCACGGCCCCGGCGGCCTCTGCAGGCGGAGACGGCAGCGTTCGCTCGCTCGCTCGCTCGCTCGCAGGGGGCCGGGCCTCCCCGCGCCCCGGCCCGCCGCCCGGGGACGTGGCCGCCTCCCGCTCCGCCCGCCGCCGCCCTCGGCCCGCCCGGGTGCGGGGTGCGCCCGACCCTCCCCCGGGGCCCGTGGCGCCCGACCTGGCGGCTGGTCCCGCGGGCGGCCCCGCGCCTGAACGGGAACTTGGCCGCCCGCCTGACTTTCTTTTCCTTAAAGATAGAAGCCCCGTCCCGCCAGCTCGCGCAGGGGCGGCGGCCACGCGGGTCAGATTTTCCGTAGGAATTTAAACACAGGAAGAGAGTATCTACGGGGCCCCTCCGCTCCAAGATTTATTTTTATCCGGGGAGAATGCCCCCTTTGGATGTGGGGCCCAGGTTAAAAAGGGAGAGTTCCTACTAGGGAACTGCCTGTAGTCCCCCCCTTCAACCAAAGCACCCCTCTCCCACCCTGCACCCGGTGTCCCATCCCCCAGGGTCTCCCTCCACCCCGTGCAAACCGCTGTTGTCACTCAGGTCTCACCTCCTCCGGGAAGCCGCCCTGATTTCTGCAGCCCGCTATGTCTCCCCCTTCCCCCCCCTCCAGTGGGCACTGGCTCCAGGAGTGAGACCCTCCCCGGGGACATCCCGTCTCAGGAGACACTGACGCCACCCGAGGCTCCTATTGACCAGTCTCAGCCACGGTCCCTTCCAAGCGCCTAAGTATGCATGGCCCCAGGTAGCTCCACACCCCTTAGCCTTCTGCGAGGGGGTTTGGCACCCCCAGAGGTCTCCCCATCCCTGCAGGGGGACAGAGAGAGGGGCAGGAGCCCGGGACAGCCACGCTCACTGTGCCTCCTGGGGAGGGGGAGGAAGGGGAGGATTCTCCAAGGTTTCCCCTCTGTCCACCTGGGCAGGTCTTTCATCCACTTCCCCCAGCTACCTGCCGACACTTGAGCTCAACTCATCTCTCCCTCCTCGTGGCCTCACAGCGGTTGTGTCTGCTAGATTAAGGACATGGCGCAGGCAGGACAGGGGCCGTGTGGCCGCTGTGTCGCTCACTGCCAGGGCGCGCAACGTGCCCCACTCACACACACACACGTAGCTTGGGGGTGCTTCAACTTGGAAGGCGCCAGAAGTTTGTCAGGTCCCCTGCCAGCCAGAGTCAGTCCTTATCCCCAGCAGAAGCCGCTCCCACGGCCTCCACCACCCTAGACCCGCTGACTGGCTGGAGGGCAAGCTCCCAGGGCCTGGAGGAATCGCATAGGAGGGGTCAGGGCCAGTGACTGGTCCCCTTCTCCATGCCAGCGCCGAGGCACCCTGGAGAGCTGTCTGAACGGGTTCTGGAGGCAGAAGACAAAGCCACGAGGGATGACCGGTGCAGGAAGGAGCGAGTGTAGCATGGTCCCTCATGGATGCCAGGGTGGGGGGATGCTCAAACACCAGAGGTGACCCTGGACTGCTGACCCCAGAGGCCCTGGGGGAGCCCCCACATCGGGGCCAACCTCCCAGGCCTGCTCACACCAGCCTTGCATCCTGCATCCACTCACCCCGTGTTCCCTGAGATGGACAACAGAGACTCATTTAGCCAAGTGCAGAGGGGACGCAGCGGGGGCAGGGAGACCAGGAAGCACCGAGGTCTTCAGAAGCCCCTCCCCCAAAACAGGAGGGAGGATGGAGCCCCAGGGAGTCAAGGCACCTCCCCTATTCAGGACTGCTCCTGGGGTCCCTAACTGGCTCTGTCCCCCTTCTCCTCCCACCCCAGGCACGTGCCCCAGGCTATGGTTCTGGGCAAGAGCTCTGCCCACCTGGCTTCCCACCTGCCTGGAGAGCAGGCTCTCCCACACACTGTGCCCCTCCCCACGCACTGTGCCCCTCCCACTGTGGTTTCTGCTTGCTGCCCGTGGGTACCACCCGATGCCGGGCGTTGTCGGATGCCTCCAACATCGGACAGTCTCCAGGGGCCCAGCGGGACATGGGGAGAAGTGTGGGAGCCCGGCAAGGCCACCAGGAGGGCGATGACCCTGCCAGGGGTGCCCATTCCAGTAGCACTGCCTCTCGTAGCCGCTGCCTTGTGGGACCGGCTGTGGCAGAGGGCGTGGACGACAGCCACCCGGCACACAGCTCAACATAGGAACACAGCTCGAGGTGCTCGAGCAGGTATCAGGGCTTGCCAGCCTTTGTGGCCCTGACTGACGCAGCTGCTCCTTCTGTGAGCTGAAAGGTCTGAGGGCACCTATTCCCCATACCCCGCCAGAGTCCCAGGTGAACCTGCAGCAGGCACCCAGGACAAGGGCCCCGAGCTGGCGCCACTCCCCGGGGCTGTCCCGGGGTCACTTCACAGCCACTGGGGGTCACTTCACAGCCACTGGGGGTCACTTCACAGCCACCGGGGGTCCCATCCCTGCAGAGGACAGCAGCGCCCTCGTCCTGGCGGCGGGAAGAGTGTCACCCAGGGCAGGAACTTGGCTCCCAGCGCAGCACCCGGCCTGCCCTGTGCTCTCCCAGGAGCCCCCGGAGGTTGATCTTATCGCCCGTGTCACCCAAATGAGCGTGTCCAGGCTCAGAGAGGGGGGAGTTTCAGGTCAGGCACATGCCCGGGGACAAAGGAGATGCCGAGTCTAGATCGGCCAGTTCCTCCCCCGACTGGCAGCATGGCACACACACACATGCACACACACACACATACGAACATTCACCCACGTGGGAACTTTCAAAATTTCCTGGGAAATAGAAAGAACTAAGCTGATCTCAGTGCAAAAAAATCCACATGAGCTGTTCACACGTTTCCTGGAACTTTGGGAAGGTCCCTTGAAATCAGGGATTGCAAAGCTTCACTCAGCATCCCACTGAACTCTCCTGCCCTCCACGCATGAAGAGTGGGCCAGAGCAGACCCAGCGGCCACAGCCGCAGCTCCCGTTGGTAGGCAGGGACAGGGCCGGGGAGGCTCCACAGGCAGGGCCCTCTTCCAGGCAGCCCTCCGGAAGAAGTGAGCAGCAGCCGTGACTCAGAGCTGCGGTCCGCTCCCACGCCGCCGGCTCCGCTCGGTGGGCATCCCGTGTGGGAAAGGTGGGTGACATCAGGAGCTGCCGTCACCGTCCCCGGGGAAGGCGAGCTGGTTTAGAGCTGGCCCACTGTCACTTCCTTCCTTTGCATGATGTCAGTGCCGGGGCTGGGGAGCCTCCTCGGGCAGGGACACCGCCAGCCCTAGCCTGGGACACGGCCAAGGCATGCAGTCCCGTCTGGGCAGGGGCAGAGGGGGGATGCCCTTCCCCCAAGAGAACCCAGGGCTCTCCAGTTTCCATGGCAGGAGGGGTTTAGGAGCTCAGAGGTGGATTTGGTTAACCCGGAGACCCGCCTCCGGAGAATTCCAAAGCCGCAGGCCTCGTGCGCCGTCCCTCCTGCCGCTCCTTCCAGAAGCCCGGCTGGCGGGCTCTTCATGCCACCCCCTACCCTGGCCTGGCCCGTGGCTGCGTCCTGGCATGGGGGTGAGGGTGGGGTTCTGGGGCTCCCTTCTGCCCCAGCGCCCTGCCACACCCGGGCATCCAGTCTGGCTTCCCAATGTGTTCATTTATGCTGCAGGCGGGCCGACCCCAGGCCACACTCTGGACCAATGCCAACTCTTGCCAGGGGTCCCCCACGGGGCTCTCTCTTTAGAGGGAGGGGCCTCCAGGGGGCGGGAATGCCAAGAGCCCCTGCAGCCCTCCCTTCCAGGAGCTGGGGGACGGCACACACTTCCCAGCCCCACATAGATGCTGGACCCCACGGGCAAGCCCCCAACACTCGCATGTCGCCATGACGCCTCCTGAGAGCCCGCGGAACGTCACGGGAAGATGTGACTCAAAGGTAACTGGGAAAAATGATTTTCAGATCCTCGTGGTGGCCTCACAGTCACACAGCTCCGGGAGCCAGCTGCAGACCCCTCAGACACACGGATTTCACGAGCCAACCTCTCTCGGGCTTCCCTTTGCCCAGGAGCTTTGGGCAGCTCCATGGATGCCTTGGGCGTGCCAACCAACCACACACGCTGGGAACGTGGCGCAAGGTCTATCTTGGGGGACAGGGGTGAAGCTTATAACCTAGGGCGCTTCGGTAGCTGGCATAGGGCCAGAGCAGGCGGGTCCCCATCCCCACTCCACGACCCAGCGTGACCAGAGCTGACCAGTCAGACCCCAAGGCTTCTGGGACATCCCAATTCCCTGCTTGGTGCCCAGTGGCTGTCTCGCAGTGGGGTCCCTGCCCACTCTGGAGTGTCCCTCCTGCAGGAGAACTGCCAGCCTGCAGGCTTTGCTCAGGAAGGGCGGCAGAGGAGCGGGGTGGGACCCCAGACCCAATGGCCCGGGAACGTTGCGTTCTCAAGACCTTGTGCTTGTGGGAGCAGTGAGCGAGCGAACCTAGCTGGAGCCTCCACAGCAAGGCCGCCCATTGTCCCGACCTGACTCCGGGGCAGCGAGCGCAAGTCCCCGCAGCAGCTGCCCCCAGTGGGAGAAGGGACGACTGTGGGCGACAGCGGTGGGCTCGCCCTGGATCCCAGCTGGGATTTCCACCTGTTCGGGCTCATGTGGAGCAGTCTGCCGGCAGGCCGGGTGGAGGCTGGGATACAGCCGAGGATGGGGCTGGTCACATGGAGGTGGGAGACATGACCAGGGACACTGAGTCTGCCCACCCACCCAGGAACTAGCAGCAGTCCCTCTGGGGGCGCTGAGGGGTCACATCCCTCCGCCAGCATTGCAAGTGCTGCAGAGAGCTGCCCCAGCAGCCTGGCAGTGGGCCCTGCATGGGGGCCTCAAGCTCACTCACCCAGCTTTTCCGGGCAGCTTTTGGGGAGGGGCAGGCATCCCATGACTCCCTACCCACACTCTTTGTGCACTGCTCATTACTCAGGCACACACTGCGCCCTCACTCTCACATCCAGCCGGCCATTCAGCCCGCTGCCTACTCCCTCACCATCATCTTCCTCACTCACTAGCGTCACTCCCT